TAACAAATAATATATATATATATATATATATATATATATATATAGAGAGAGAGAAAGAGAATTTAAAATAATAATAGAATGTAGGATAGAATCATAAGGAAGTGACGTTGGATTCGCTCACCTGCAACGATGGCCTCCTCAACGTGCCACCCTCCATACCAACCAGTTTCACCCCTTTCACGTTCTTCTTAACGTTGATCGTGGTTAACATGTTGTCCGGTATAGTTTGAAATTCCGTCGCCCCCCTGTCCACGACACCGTGCCTCTCGTTCTCCCTTGTTTTGTCGTTCACCAAGCAGGATCCAGGATCCTCGATTTTAGCGTAATGGGCGTCAGGCGTGACGGTGGTGGCCATCGTCGAATTGGCCGGAACGGTGACCATGGCCGGGTTGTTGCACGGGGCCATGGCTATCGGTGGACGATCGGTCGGCAACAACATCTGGCCCATAGAACCTCTCAGATTTCGCACGCCTAATATCTGACCTCTCGAGACCTCGTTGCTTTGTATGGGGGCATATTGATTCGGGGTCGGGGTATGTCTGCCGGTGATCGAGCTCGCGTGAATGGAATTTCTCAACGTTTGAAGGTGTTGCAGGCTTTGGTTCGCCTTTTGGGCAGCGGATCCAATATTGTTTATCTTTTTCTGGGGAGTGTCTTTCTCGTATAGATCGCCGGCTATGGTCCCATTGTCCCTTTGATCGGTCACGGAGTCCTCGACGGAGTTAGTCGTGGTGCGGTCGTCGTCGTAGCTTCCAGGCCCGATCCCATCGCAAGAATCTATTCCTGAGGTAGATTTCTGGGGAGGGAGATTTTAATTTTATATTTCTTTTTCTTTTTCTTCTTTCACAGTTTTCTTTTAAAACAGAGAGGATAATTTAATAACTCACATTGACGGAAGAAGTGTCCATGAGGGCGGCGCCCGAGCTGCTCTGTACAACTCCCGACTGATCCTTCGATTTCCCCGGTGAATAGACGCTAAGAACGTCGCAGCATCGGGGAAAGTAACCTTTCCCTAGAAGATTTCTCGTGAAGAAACTCGTCACGAGTTGGGTGCACAGGGCCACTAGCATGGCCCCGGTGCGGAATGGGAATTTTTGCGATTGCGTTTCCACGTCGTAAAATGGGTACTCGATCAGTGCCGGCACACCCAATCCTTTTTCTCCGCCTAGGATAGAGAATATTTTCGAAATGAACATTGTTAAGATGAAAATATTTTTAAGAACAAATTTTCTTCCTTACGAAAATTGTTATCGCGTTATCGAACAACAATTTATAGATATTGGATCACATTGGCGTTTTTCTCGATCAAAATATGAACCTTTAGCTTTAACAATCTTTTTTTCAACGAGAATTCAACTGACGTATTCCACTTTTGTAAAACTTCGTGGTTTCAGTCACGAAAAAATTCTTCGAATGCTGCGATTACAGCTTCTTCAATGTCGAATATATTTAAAACAACTGTAAATGGCGAAACAAGTGATAATCGGTCGATGAAATGTCTGATGAGTATGGTGGTTTATGATGTATGTCGAGTGTTGACACGCGAAAGAATAGGTTATGATGCCTCTTTGTTTCAAAGAATTATTCCCTTTACAGACTATCATACAGTCACCGTAACTTTTTTTACTCCGTAACGATGGTTTCAGAATTTAGAATTTTCATTAGGATCCAATTATTATTCAGATCGTGTACAAAGTTATAATTCTATTCAAAAATGGATTTCTACTGTTTCGAGCTTTACACTTCTAAACGTCGCAACTTTTGATCCTCTGTCGGTTGGTGCGGTACCCACTTTTCCAATTTTTTCACTTTATCCGTTGCACTCAATGTCTAACAACTGTCATCAGAGATTTATGTTTTCATTTTGACTTTCGATCTATCTTTGTTTTGATTTATTTCGAGGCTTATTTTTAAGATTGTCATTTCCAGATCTGAATTTTTGAAACTATCACGATCCTCAATAATAGAATCTTCTCCGAAACTTAACCTAATATTTCGATATGCTTCAGTTGCACTGTGACTCAGCTTAAACTCGTACAGGAATAATATTATAAATTCGTTTACTTTTCAAAAAATAATTAGGTTAATATAAAAAAGAACTTATTACGCAAAAGAAATATAAAAGGATAAGGTTAAAATATGGTAAGCAAAATATAGGTTAAATAGAGTTTACAAGTCACATTTGTTATAATTGTCATTTGTTTTAAAATTGGCAACTTTATGTGGTACAGCCTAATACATAGGAATACATAGGAAATATTCTATTATTCTCACCGCAAAGGCGTAAAACAACAGCCACGAAGTAACCAGCCAGACATCCATACGTGTCGACCAAAGATGGCCAATGGACCACAGTTAACAATTGAGGGAAGAGCACCACGTAAACGAGATCAGAAGCCAAATACCTTTAAAAAAAAAAAACAGATGAATTAGTTGATCTGTTTAATTGATCGTCAATCAGTGAGTCGACAAAATGAGCGTATTACTACTTACGACAGATAATAAACGCTGTCCACCGTAAGTGCAATCACAGTCGACAAGACTGTGATCACAAGCACGGATATCCGTAGTATCCAGTTCAGTTCCCTTTCGGATGCCTGTGTTACGAAAAAATGAAAAAGCTTTACCATTGTTCTCGTTCTTTCGAATCTTCATTCAGACAACATTTTGAATATTTTCGATTTTGTCGTAAAAATTAAGAATCTTATTTTAAATAAAAAATAAATAGATCATTTTTTTTTTAGGATTAACCTTCGGTCTTAGCGTCAGTCTGTAGACATTTCTGGAGAACATGGAACTGCTGGCCAATATACTTGAATCCGCCGAGGACATTACTGCCGCGGAAATAGCGCCCAGACCTAATAGATCAATATCGAAAATTGCGCTATTGACAAGCGTGAAATACATTTACTTAATATATACATTCGATAGATTTCGACAAATTCCCGATTTTTTTTTAATTAAAATCATGCAAATCTCTTTTATTTCTCTTTCCTTAACTTAAAGCTTAAACTTTATTTTACAAAGCGAAGCAGTCGATAAGAATGTGCAAAGTCTTCGAAAGCCCGTGTATCACTACTTGAATTTTTATTCTTTACGGACACTCGACCTGTTTCGCGGTTGCTTAAGTGACTAATGTTCGAGGTGTGCCTTGCTGGTACGGAGAGAAAAAGAGAGAGAGAGTGAGTGTGCTTATACGGAAGGTGAGAAAAGAGGGTCAGATGGTTGTAGGCGAAGAAAACAGGCTCGCTGCTTCTCGCGAGATTTCAGACAAAACGCGTGAAAGAGAAACACGCTCGAAACACAGTTCGAGTGTTTGTCATTCGGAACTAGAAGGGAATCGAAGGTAAGTCTGAGCGTCTCAAGGAAAGGAGATCGAGAAAACTATCGGGAGAGGGGGGAACAGTTGTTTTAGCTTTCGAAATCGTCACAGAGGGTTCTACACTTACCGACAAAGGAGACCCACTGCGGTGTCAAGTATCGGAGAACGATCGGTAATGCTGCATTCGCTTCGTGCGCTATTATACTTTTGTTAAATCCCTGCACGGATGACCAATCGGTGGCACGTGCCACCACGCCAATTAGAGCTGATGGAAACGCGAGGATCATGCAACCGAACATCGATGTTATTGACAAAGCGGTCGCCATCGATGTGCTTCGCATACTTAGGATCCTTTGAAAGTAGCCCTGGATCATTGTGAAATCTTTTAATATTTGTAACTAGATTCGTAACTACCGGAACGAACTAATCGATATTTTTCTTTCTTTCTTTCTTTCATTCTTTGCCTCGCTTGAAACAATCTTTCATCAAACCAAACCAAACCAAACGAAAGTTCTCGCGTTCGAGTACACTGCTCGTGCAGATTCACGCGTCATATAGATCAGAATATTATCTTGATGAATATTCAATATACCTGCCAAGGTATACCGCCAAATACCAACAACAGCATGCAATCCACCCACTCGCCAAGATCCTCGTTCTTAATCTCCCCAAGCCATTCGTGCGGCGTTAGATTCTTCTCGAAGTTGACGGCTGGGTGGAGAACGGAGAATGGCGCAGCCAATCCCAACCCGATCACGATGCATGCCAGCTGCAACGCATCGGTGCACGCGACGGAGTAAAGTCCACCGAACACGGTGTATCTGCAATTCACAGGTTTAATTTTTTTTTTAATTATGATATATATTATAGTATGTCATAGAGTTTTTTTCGCTTATAATTTCTATTTTTTTCTTTTTTCAAAATTTCTCTCCAATCCCAAAGTTTTACTCACACGCCTGCCAAGAGGGCAGAGGCGACTATGCTGATGTCCGGATTCACGCCAGCAACCACTGCCAACGAGCTTCCCAAAGCTCTCAACACCCCGCCACACCAGAACAAATCACTGAAGAGGGCGGGGAGGAACAAGAGCCCCCCGACCCCTGCACCGTATCTCTCTTGAAAAGGATCCAACATGGTCACGTGTTCCGCTTTTCTCATTGGTCGTACAAACAACACCGCACCTGCAACATTTTTTTTTCTTTACATCCATCATTTCTCGAACAACATCTTCGTCGCGAAGATTGATCAAAACTCGATCAAGAAATTGTTTCATGCGAAAATGCAATTTTTCTGAACCTTTGGATTCAAGAGGCCATTTTCTTTCATGGTCGAGGAGAAAGCATCGTCGATAACAAGAAACCTACTTTAACATACTCTCTAATCTTCTTCCGAGATAAAAACCCTCTTCCTGCACGTGAACCTAATTCCTTCTCTTTCTTTCTTCTCAATCGATTAATATTAATAATTTTAAACATTTTCTCCTCGAATCGAATGCTGTAAAATTGTATCGTTTATTTTATCTATAATTATGAAATGAAAACGAAATGTATCGAACAAATCCTTTATTTACAATCCTTCTAAAATACATTCAATCGGATTCTAACGAACTAGAGAGAGCTTTCGAATTGGAATTGAATAAAATAGAAGGAGGTATTAAATTACCATAAGCTCTGATAGAATTAAAATTAGTTTTAAAAAGAGAGGGGATTGAATTGTTAACGGATGTCGATGGATTCGCGCTTTTAATTAGATAGCGGATGCTTCGATTAAGTGAAACGCAAACGTTGTGAATAGTATAGCCTCGATTAATTGGAGTTCAATCAAATTCGGGATCTGTGGTCGAGGAATGGGGGGGGAGGTGGAGAGGATTGGGGGAAACATCGTTAACGAAAGGGGATATCCATTACTACAGGATACGCGCGCGAAAAAAAAAAAAAAAAAAAGAAATTGGCGATAAAGTGGTTTGAGCATTCGTCGGCGTGCAAATAAATCGAGCTTATGTGTGTCCGTCCGATCGAACCATCGATTGGGTCGTTCAATATTTCAGCAGAGAATTTTCCAGACGCTCTCCGCCGAATCGGAAAAATTTTTAATCTGGCATTTCTGACGATTTTGAAATTGGAATATCTTTCACCATTTGTTTATTCTTTTTTATCGTATTAAAAATCGTATCGGAAAAAAGGATCGACAATTATTGCAATTATCTTTATTATTGTTTACATCAATTGCGAAACTTTTTTCAAAAAGTAATTTTAATTTATATAAATTTTAATATCGAAATTTTTATATGTTTTGCCCCATTTTAATTATTGAGAAAATTGTTTACGAATATTTAAAAAATACGATGATCAACTCTCTTAAAGCACGCCTCGGATGACAAGTCGTCAACAATAATTCTCTTTTAAAATAACTTTCGCGGAATTCAAATAATTCGCGTGAGAAGAGAGAAAGAGAAGGAAAGATAAATATAAGAGCCTTGGATGTCCTCGGCCTTGACAGTTTCATCATCTCTCATACTCATCGATCTACTTCCACTCCCTCTACCGCCATATTTCATCGAATACGTAGCTAAGTTAAGGTTATGTGTGCGGTGTAGCATGGACCACGATGCAACGACAACGTTGATTTACAATGAAAATAATTGAGAAGTTTTATTTTTATATATTTTTATATATTTTTCCAAGTGTTGGATAGAACACTTCAATTAAGAAATTTTTCGATACCATATTTGGAATATGGAATATTTGTTTCGATTATTGATGAATTTTACGCCCTCGTTGCATATACACGTGGTCACACGCTTAACGTTAGCGTGAAAGATCAGTAGCATACCGAACAGTAGACTGAGGCTGTAACCGAAGGGCACTTGACACCAGGCCAATCCTTTGGTAAACATCAATTCAGCGGTCCCGTTTATGTAAGCGCCACCGACCCACGTGGCTGTGGAAAAAGAGCAAAGAACGCGTGCTGTATCTCTCGATTAGTTGGCTTCGATTAAGCGAGAAATCGCTCTTTCGAGGGAAAATGTTAGGGAGCGAGGCCGGTCATCTGTAAAAGCTTAATAAACATGTTACTATATACTGGTGAGGAAATGACGTTTCTTTTATTTCTTTCTTCTGAAATTAGAGAAAAAAGTTAAAAGTGGTGTAGAAATAAGTATGTGATTAATTATACCCACGAATATATAAATAATTGTTTATCCAAGATCGAAAGTTCAATTATTTATATCTTGTTGTATCTATTTTCTCTAACGCGCGTAAATTAATCATATCTCTAAGTGCCAATTATTTATAAATGCATCTATTGTTCATAACAATCTATTTCTATCTATTATATCATAAACAAAAGGTAAATTTAAATTTCGCTAGAGTATTAAAATCTCATCTCATTTCATCAATTACCAAAACAGCTCGACCTTTGTCGATCCGACCATTAAGATTAAAGCTATTCCTGGTGTAAAACCAATTCCCCGACCTAAATTTTCCCGTGGCTGACCGAACACCGCTGGAACAATCGGAAAGACCGCAGAAACGCGTGCAAATCCCCTCCATCGTTGCTCTTACCATTCACTCTTCACCGAGCGGAGAGAGAGGGGTGAGGGGAGGGAGGAGGAAGAAAAGAAAGAACATAATACGGACAGTTATGGTCGAGCGGAGCATTTTCCACGGCATATTTTCCCGTCCTAGTGTTATTAAGCTAATGGAGGGATGCAAAAATGATTTCCACGGTGAGAGGTATAGGGTACGGTTAGAGCGTGTGTATAAATGAAACGCGGTTTTAGAATGGATTCAACGGTTGTGATGAGGGGCAGGGGAGGAACACAGGAAACGCGAAATGGAGACGCGCGGACGGGAGAAATAAAAAGAGGAAACTAGGGATAAAACGAGAAACACGATTGACGCGACAACAAAGCCTGGATTCCCCGGTGTCCTACTGTGCCTGCAGTCGATAAAACATCGCGTATGTTTGTTCAAAGAATCGGGAAGAGAGTAAAGAAGATACACGATATGATTTTTGAAATCATGATACAGCGGATGGTGATTCTACGTGTAAAAATAAGTTGGAAAAAAAAAGGATAATATTTTTTCGTGCGAAGCTCCGTTGATAAAGTAAATCATGCTTGAAAATTTTTCGAATGAAAGGGAAATTGATTAATTTCTCTATTGAATATAAATGAACTTTTTTTTTGATAGTTTTGATTTACTTTGTATATAAAAATAAACAAAAAAATATAGAATAAAATTTTATCAAGAATTCTTGTTTTCTGTAATCAGGGAATCGTATAATTTTAAAACTAATTTTTATTAGAAGCGTTATATTCAAGTTTAATAATTAATAATTAAAATGTTAAATATGCTTTTATTAAAAATTAAATTTTATAAAGACAAATCTGATTGTTGAGTTTAATAGTATTTTAAAAAATATTAATCTACTTCAAATTGGAATTTAAATTTTATAAGAATAGATTTGATTGCCTGTTTTTTAAAGAATCAAATATACATTGAAATTGAATAATATTGTAATTCCGAATAGATTATACCGTCCCACAAATCCCAATGAAGCAAATGATTAAGATACTTATAGATTCAATGAGAACAGAGTTGAGAATTGATAATTTAATAATCTTCATCAGAATTATTAATATCATATTCGATTCCATAGCCAACAGATTAATAGAACCATGAATTTCAGAAGGAACAGAATTCGGATAATTCTATTTATACGAGGCAAACGATCAATTTTTAATTGAATTCCCAATTTGACTATTTTATAACTTACAACTATTATATAACAAGCATTTACAATCGAACAATGTCTGAATTTATTGAATTTCCAATATTCCATTATCAAAAGAACATTCTCGCCCGACGAGATCGAATCAAATATATAATCGCACGAATTTGTTTGTGAAACTTACCGATCAAAGTAAACACACCAAGAATCGGACCTAAGCCACGGTTGGCCAGTATCAAAGCGTCATGGCCATGGCGGGATTTTTTCTTCTTCACTGCGGCCGCCCAAATACCGACACCCAACACCGCCACATAAAACGCGATCACACCGACCAAACCTATCACGTACACCCCCATCGCTGCACCCCCTTCACTTCTCTCTTCTTCCGGGATAATTGCGGGATCCCCTGCAACTGAATCGTTTCCAGTCGTTAACGCGTTTTCTCCTTTATCTCTCCACACACACACACACACTTGTCATTACGCGAGATTAATTACAAAAGATATTTGAACACACCTTTAAATCCCTTTTGCTAATTTATTAGTCGGGCATTAAACCGATTGAAAAAGTAAAATTTCGAATAAAGTTAAGTTCGAGTAAATTGCTTATTTAAACGCTCGAACGTTTATTCGCTTTTCGCATAACCATTTGCCACTATAATTATTCGCAATTATTTACAATTATTATTATTACGAACGATTATTATTATTACGAACGATTATTATTATTCTTATTACTTCGAACGATAAGTCATTGAGGTAAATTATGAAGTAAAATTACTTTGAATAATATCACTTGAATAACGATTTGACACTGTAATTATTTGCTACGTTATTATTATTACGTTTCGAGCACGATAAATCATCGAATTGATTCATGAAAGTAACTTTGCTCGTAACTTCCGTTATTCGAATTCCAGCCCATCGCACGTTCGCCACAGAACTATAGATTGGAAAGAACAACAGGGCACGCGGGCAAAATAGCAAATCGAGCCTCGCAACAAAGACTCGAGTTTCGTGCACTAATTTTCCGCCGTTCTCAATGCTCTCGATTGTTCTCCCATTTCCAAGTTCTATGCAAGCGGGAAAGAAGAGGCCGAATCGATCGACGAGAGAGAACAAAAATTGAAAATTGTCAAAATATATATATATTATCCCCGGCAAAACTATTTTCCATTCCATTTCTTTCATTCTCGTTCCACGCTGGAAAGCGTCTCGCTCGTCCCGTATCGATCGTCCTTCTCTCTCGCCTCGATAAAATTCGGACAGTCGAGGCTTCGCATCGTTGCGGGCAGAGGCGGGCACGAGAAGCAAAAGTTAAAGCTCGGTAAACTTCGGCGGAGTGAAAGAGCTAATCGAGCGAGGCGGCAATTGCAGGCTGGATTAAAATTCAAGTGTGGCCCAGATATCGGGCATGGATGGGTCGTCGGGTCATGACCCGGCTCGCCGCTTTTACTCACGTAAAGTTCAGCCGATCCTCCTCCGCGCCCCTCTCGCGCGGCATTATTAATTCGTTCGCGAGTCGCTCCCCACTTTTTCCTCCCTCCCACCCTCCCTTCCTGCCCCTCCCTCCCTCCTTCTCGACTTTTCTCGATCCTTCTTCTCCTCCTCCTCCTCCTCCTCCTTCTTCTCGTTCGTGGAGAAACCACCGGCTGAAAAAAAACGAAGGACAAAAGAATGCTCAGAGGTTTTTGTTTATTATTTTTTTTTTTCGATGAAAAATTCGAGCATTAGTATTCGTTCTTTTTTATCCCTCGAATTTCATTTGCTCTCGGAACACGAAGCACGCTTTCGATTTTCTTTTCGTTTTTTTTTCTTCGATCGTGTTTGACGAGTTTTTTTTTATTAATGTAATTACTCTCGCCTTGCGGAAATATAATTTCGCAAGAGAATTATATTTATCTTTAAGAATCAGTTAGTTCTTAATTTAATTTTTTAATTTTTTATTTATCTTTAAGAACCTGTTAGTTCTTAATTTCCAAATTAATAGTGGAAATGAAGAAATGGTTATGCGCTATAACTGTATTACACGACACAACGAAATGTGAGATGCTTTTTGGAAAATTTTGGGGGGAAGGGAAGTATTACGGGGCGTTTTTTTTTTCTTTTTCAGGAGAAGCTCATCGCTCTCGTCGTCTCATCGCTCTCGTTCCCCAGGCTAAAGCGTGTATCCAGGGCTTTTCAGAGACTTTTCTCGCGGAAATCGTAATAAGAGACTTAAGAGGAGGAGAAGGAGGAGGAGGAGTTCAGGACGCATCTTCACGGTTTCACGATGGCTTCTCAGCGAATTCGTTAACCGCTCGCATCAACCGCCGCCTTTCTCGCGCGCGCGCGCGCGCTTTTCACAGGTGGAAACCAAAACCAACTGGCGAAAAAGGGGCCCCGTTTTTTTTTTATCCCGGCGGAAATTTTTCTAATTACAAGCGTGTTTTCTTAATTACACTTTATACTTTATGTACCTTTTTTCTTTCCCCCTCTACGGCGAAAAAGCTTCTGCCTCGCGAAATTTTGCAAATTGAGCGCAAATTTTAAATTTTCCAAAACAAAGAAAAGTGGGATGAATTCGATTTCATCCAATGATGGCCCTTTTATTCGATAGATTCTCTTCGCAATATCGCGTCCTTCCCGCGTTTAATTGATTTGATTAAATTAGATCAAATCGTTTAACCAAAATTTCCTCCACAATCTATCGCTATTTCTATTCTTATCGATGAAACTAATGAAAATTGTAGAGGATGCAAATTTTTCCGATCGCAAGCGTATTATTCTTTAATTATATTTTTATACCTTTCTGCTTCTGCTTTACGAATTTTTAAAATATATTTTAAAATTCTATTTTTTGTTAAACTAACACACGCGTATTTCGCGTTAATAATTTGATTTTCGTGTAAAAATCTCTTAGAGTATTCGTTAGGATTAGGAAAAGGAGTCGTTTCGCTCAATCAAGATTCCCGTCTTCTCTTTCTATCCCTTTATGGAAATTTTTCTAACTACAACCAAGTGTTTCTTAATTATATCATACTTTTCTTTTCTGAAACTTCCGCTATATATTTTTAAAATTATTTCAAATTTTCCAGCATCCAAAGGAAAGCATCCATCCCGTTTTATCTGTCCAACAATGTCGGTTAATAATTTGATTCAAATCTCTCGGCGGAGAGATTCCGTTTAAAAAAAAAAATAGAAGAAGAAGAACCAGTCGTTCAAAGCCTTCCTTCAATTTTTTTCCTTCGTCGTCATCTATCCGTTTCCGCTCCTCGTGGAAAGAAAACCAATTAGAACGAGCGTGTATTTCCACGATGGCCGCCTCTCCCCCCTCCACTCTTCCTCCTCCTCCTCCTCCTCCTCCTCCTCCCCCCTTTGCCCCGCGCAAATCGAGAAACTCTTAAAAATCGAGAATCGATAAATATAATATCGAATTGCTTGACTCGACCTGTTTCTTCCTTCTCCCCCCCCCCCTCCCTCCCCCGAGTTTTTCCGCCCTTTCCGATACGTTTGTTCGAATTCACTTTTATCGCTTTCCTGCCAACACGGAGGAACATGAACCAACGAGAGGGCGGGTGAAAACGGAAAAGCCGGGGCCCGCAAAAGGCCGGTTCGTTACTGAAATTGCTTACTAATTAAGTGTAACGGAAAAGTGGAACGGACGGAGGGAGGAGGAGCGTAAGGAGATGAGAAGAAGGAAGGAGAGAATTAACGAGGGGAAACGGCCGGCCGTTTTCTAACTACAGAATGTATAAATAGCGAGCGCGGCTCGTTATAAATTTGTGGAAAAAAAAAAGTGCGTCGGAAAAGTGAATTGGAACGGATGAAAGGAGAGAGAGAGAGAGAGAGAGTAGTTCAGACAGACTCTGTACGACCAACGAATCTATTTCTCTGAAGAGATTAAAAAAGAAAGAAAGAAAGAAAGAAAGAGGAAAGGAGAGGGGAGGAGGAAAAACACGTATACAGGGAGGGGAGGAGGGAGGGATTGGTTGGAAGAGAAACGCGTGAGAAGGCGAGGGGTTAAATGGCTAGGAGGGGAGGGAGAACGAGTTTAAGAAGTTTGCTCGGTTTGTTCCTCTGTTTTTTTCCCTCCTTCGAAATCTCCTCCTCCTCCTCCTCCACGATCGTTCGCAACGAATTTTCATCGCAGGATATCCTCAATCGCTGCCTTAATCGCTTTCAGCCGAGACAAGAGAGAGAGAGAGAGAGAGAGAGTTTCAGACAGACTCTGTAGACCACGAATCATTTCTCTGAAGAGATTAAAAAGAAAGAAAGAAAGAAAGAAAGAGGAAAGGAGAGGGGAGGAGGAAAAACACGTATACAGGGAGGGGAGGAGGGAGGGATTGGTTGGAAGAGAAACGCGTGAGAAGGCGAGGGGTTAAATGGCTAGGAGGGGAGGGAGAACGAGTTTAAGAAGTTTGCTCGGTTTGTTCCTCTGTTTTTTTCCCTCCTTCGAAATCTCCTCCTCCTCCTCCTCCACGATCGTTCGCAACGAATTTTCATCGCAGGATATCCTCAATCGCTGCCTTAATCGCTTTCAGCCGAGACAAAGGAAGAGATTATCATATTGTACGTCGTTTAATTTGTTCGATTATCACCACGAGCCGAGGATTTTATTACGGGGAAGATTTCATCGAAGAGAATTAGAGAGAATTATTCAATTTCGTGGTAGTTCCAAGATAGTTTAAGTTATTCAAACGTGTAATATATTTTTAAAAATTGAAACGCGCACAGATTCTTTTTGTGCTTTTTAATTTAATTTCTGATAAATTTTCTCATCCCGTTTCACATCGATTAACCATCCGTTGTTAAGCAGAGCTAATTTTCAAATCGTATCCCATCCTATTGTCTCCAGATCTTGACGTCTCCATTACAATGGCGCTCGGGATGCGACGGCGGAGGACAATAACAAAGGACTGCCATCTCATGTACTCCGTACACAGTACGCGATAAAGGACGACCGTTTTATTTACCATTATTACCCGTTTGTCGTTTCTCCAACTTTTTAAGCGGAAAAAATTACGAAGGATCGATTTTAAGCTTTTCATTTAAATTGCTTTCAAAACGAATCACTGTGGATGGCACACTCTGCAAACACGTGACATCTAGAAAATAATGCGTGCTCTCGAAAAATTAAGTTTTCCTAAGATGAACCGAATCGTTGAAAACAACCTTCGATTATATCATCAAAATTTCCACTCGAAGAATGGACCAAGAATCGAATGTTTCCTTCTTTCCCTTTCCTTGAGAATGAATCTCAAGAAGCGAAGCGAAAAATATCCTCCCATCCCGGAAATTTCGTTCTCTTCGAAAATGAATTTCGAAAACGAATCAATAAAGAAACGGATCAAACATTTTCTTCTCCCTAAAAGAAGAAAAAAAAAAAAAGAAAAGAAAAAAACAACAACAACAACAAAATCGAAAGAACCTCGGGAATAAAAACGGAAAAGAGGAAGTTTCCGTTTAATTTTTCTCTCAGCGAAGAATGGAATGGCGACTTACCCCCGGAACACGCCTCTCACGTGAGAATCCCCATGCTGCTTCGATTTCCGACTGGATATTCCCGGCCAGTAATAATCTTGGATTCTCCAGAGAAACCAACAAGCTCGATTCCTTTTTTTTACAAGAAAACAAACTACGATCAAAAAAGAACGATGAAGAATGGTTTATTAGTCGGCGAGGGTCGAGAGAAAGGGTGGAAGAAGGAAGCGAAGACGCGTGACGGATGGAAGGTCGGAGCTGGAAGATCGGGGTGATGGCCGAAGCGCGACACGCGGACGCTTTTAACGAGGACGGGTGCGCGCGAGACGAGTGTACGCGAGCAGAACGGCGGCGACACGAGGGAGCCAAGCGTACGACTGAATCGCAGCACTCCGGATTCGCAGCATCCCGTGTAGGGCTGATAGGCCGTGGAGGCGGCACAGCCAGAGGGGGACGTGTGCCGCAGATGGAGAGGGAGAAGGATGGAAGCTGATGCGCCGCGCAGGGGAACGTGTCTGGTGGATCGGGGTTGAAGGGGAAAAACGCACTCTCCCCTCATCCCCTCTTCTCTTTTTCCCATCCTTCTCCTGTCCGAGATGTGTATCTTCATCCTTTTTCGGTTCTTCCACTTTTTCCTCCTTCTCTCTTCTTGTTTCTTCTACCTTCTTCTTTTGCAAAACTTTTACTTAAACCCCCCTCCCCCTCTTTTTCCTCTTTCTCTCGTGGAGGGAAAGAAAAAGAGAAATATATATATGTGTGAAAAAGGAGGCGAAGAGAGGAATATGGATATCATCGAAGAGAGAGGGGATGTTGGTAGAAAAGCTGAAGAGAAGAAAGGATGAAAAAAGGGGAATGAGATGGAGAGAAAAGTGATAGAGAAGAGGAATGAGAATTATTAGAGAGAGAGAGAGAGAGATGAAAGCTACCGAGAAGAATGAAGCGGAAAAAGAGAAGAGGATGAAGAGCACGGGAATAAAACAAAAATGGAAAAACAAACATGGAAGTTACCAAGAGAGATAATAAATGTAAAGAAAACGATGGAAAGTGATGGAAATAAAGAAAGTAGAGGGAAAGAAGAGAAGAAATTGGAACGAGGGTAGATAAGCTAGGATACATGTTGATGCAAAATTGTGGAATAGAATTTCTTTCTACTAAAACGATGAGAGAAAAGAAACTGACGATTGTTTGTAAACACCACAGGAAAAAAGCAACTTGCCAAGAAAAGTAATTCGAGATGATTTGAGAGAGAGAGAGAAAAAAAAAATAACAAACACGAGACGTAGGTTTACCGTTACAAGTATTGAAAAGATACTGAAAAAGAAAGAAAGATAAAGAGGATTCTTCGTCATTTTAAATCGCAATATAGTAAAAAAAAAAAAAAAAAAAAAAAAAAAAAAAATAAGTTATCTGCAGAGGATGCAAAATAAAAAAATTGGGGATGATTTACAGCATTGTTTATAGGAAGAAGAGAAGAAGAATTGCGAATTATGAGGGGAAACGTGACGAACGTTGCCGTTGCGACAGGAATAGAAAGATATCGCGGGCAAAAAAAGGAAGGAAATACGACACAGTAGATAGAAAACCTGACAGAAATCCTATGACGTGTTAGACAGTCGAGAGAAACGCAGAAAAGGAATAGCAGTTGAGCAAGGAAAGGATAAATGAAAAATATAGACAGCTGATGGAAACGGACAACGGTACACAAGCGGAAAATAGTTTTGCTGCTTAAAATGGCAGCGCAAATATCGGCAAGTAAAGGAGCGACGTAAACTCAAACAGTTACGAGTTCATTCGAAATTGACAATTAGCGCTAATTGGAGATTAATACTTTATTGATTATATTTTTAAAAACAAATATTTTTAAAAAATTTCGCAGAATTAAAAATTCTTTTCATTTGTTTCGGATAAACAAGATTATATTTATCGTTAAAATATATATATATTGAAAGAATACTTTTCAGTAGGAATGCTTTTAAAACGATCTCTCACACATTGTACTTTTCCCTAAAACGAAACAAAGAACACGAAAGATTACAGGAGAATGCCGCAACGGGAATAGAAAATGGAAAATCCAAGAAAAAAAGCGAATGAAACATTAGGCAGGATGCATCTATATATCCGCCGAAAACACGGACATACACGTACGTACGCATGCGCATATACGTCGTGGATGGAAGAACAAACGCGGAGGAATAGCGGAACACAAAGGAAGAGATCAAGGGAAACAGTAGCAGAGAGGTGAAATCTGCGTTCAAACAACGCAGAGATGCGACGAAGGTGAAAACGAGGAAGAGGATCTAAAAATGATGAAAATTGTTGCGCGTTGTTGAATGAACGAACCGAGAGAACTGCGTGACAGAGACGATATATACGCGTATATATATGCGCACAATTCTCCATAAACGAGGACGGAAATATCACGCACACGTCTACATTTATATTTCCATGTAGAAACAGAAAGAGAACTACGAAACATCGACCCAGGAACTCTAGCCAAGAATGGAAGCTGTCTAACGAACGAAGAAACAAAATTAGAGACGATTGTTCATTTTTTTCGAAAAATTGAAATATAAATAGGAATTATATATTTTCTTAATCTCGAAGAGACTAAATAGTTACATTCCTATAACGTATTCTTTATTTAACAGCATAACTTCTATTTATGCTCGATAACGAGCAAAGAATCAAAATTGAGTGGTTCGTCGTTGTGAGTAAATACAAGTATCGAAGTATAGTTTCGACACGAGTTGTAACGCGGAAACGGTGACGCTAAACTAAAAGCTCGCTAAGGGAGGCGTAGCGTAGAAAAGGAGGGGCGAAGCGTATAGGAGAAAGATAAAAAGGTCGGTAGGGAGGGGAGGGAGGAGGTTACGATACAAATAGAGAAGAGGGTCGTACGTCGCGGGGAAAACGTGCGTCGATGAACGCGGGTGGAAAGATGAAAGCGGGTATATAATCCTGCCTAGAAGTAGAACTCCACTGTTGGAAGAAAGGGTAGAAACTCGGGATGGAGTCTGAAGAACAGAATAAACAGATGTGGGGAGAGGGAAATAGAGAGGGAAATGGATGAAGAAAGTTATACGTTGAGTTGATGATGAGATGAAAATCGGGATAAAACTAAAACGTGAGGTTATTTGTCGTGGTCGGTTAAACGCTTTAATAGACAGTGCATAAAGTTGAAGAGCGTAGAATTCGTCAAAGATTGTAAAAGGTTAAATTGTTTTGTTTACGTTTCGTTAATGTTGTTATAACGGAAATCGGTCGAGACAATCGAAATAAAATTAGATAACAACGAACGAATTAGAAAAAATAAGAAAGGAGGACGAGGACTCTTCGAAGATAAATATAGGCAGTGAAAGATGATAATGATAACGCTAGAAGATCAAGGCTCGTCCTTGATGATTAAGAGCGAGGAATTAAAATTATTCCAGAAAAAGCGACAAGATAAAGACATAAACACATTTCCTGATGGCAATGAATTTGCCAAACTTTATTTATTCAGATCTCGAACATGAGAAAAAATAGAAAAATGGAGAAAGCGAGAAGAATGAGAAAATAAGTAAGAGGAAGATGAAAGAGGATAGGATAGATCAACGAGGAGATTTTTACGAGAAGAGTGGATGGAGAGAGACAGAGAGAGAGAGAGGAGGATATCCACGCGCGGGGGAAGTATTGATCTGTTCGCGCAAACTCCTGGACTCTTACGTTCGCTCCACCGTACCAGAACCATGTCTCCCCTTCCTGTTCCGCTCCACTCCGCCACTGGTCCGTCCCAAAGCCAACGAATGCCCGTCGACGCCGAAAGTGCTCCACTGGCATCGACTATAAGCCTGGTCATCGTCCCCCGTTTGTCCATTATGGACGCACGCGTGTTGTTTCGAGCATTTTCGTCGACTCGATTCGCGTCAGAGGAAGTTGTTGATTGAAATATTCTCTCACGATCATCATCGAGCGGAGGCAAAAGTGTGGTCGGAAGATTGTAAATCGCTACTCGACCTTCTGCTTGTAATTGCGTCGGTTATTCCGTACAGAGCTTTTTTTTCTTCCCCTTAACCTGGAAAATTGATTTATCATAGAAGATTTAAAATTTCGAGTCGACATTTTTATCGAAGTAGAAATATTGTATGTGTATTTATATTACGCTGTATATGAACGTATTCGTATTATATTACGTATATGTAAAAAGTTTCGAGTCAATTGCTTTAATTTTATTAAAAAGATCAGAAATAACAGATTGACCACGTCAATCAGTATTAATTCACGCGATAACGGCGATTTCTTGGTTATGAAACAACACCGAGATGATTAATGTATCCCAGATCGGATACATGGATAATATCGTGACGCGGTTTATTAGCCATACTGGGGATAATGTCTGTGGGGATATGTTTGTCAAGCGGAACTGCGAACATACTGGTGAACGGTTGATTTAATGGGACGTGTGAATGTCGCACGAAATACATTACCCAATGTATTCCGTTTCCTTGTGTGCATCTTCATAATTCCTTAGTTTTTCTCAGATCATTTTTTTTTAGTTTAGAATTAATACAGAATCTTTATTAAAATTCCAAAAAATTCGTGTCCAACGTATCTTTTCGGATTATTTTCTATTGTAGAAAATCAAAATTTTGAAATAAAAAATATAATTTTGCAGTAAAAATTGTTAATGTATAAAATATGATAATACTTGATATAGAAACATACAAATATACCGTCGATATAAGATGTATAAAAATATTTATAAGATACTTTATATATATAAATATAAAATGTATATAAAATATATGTATGTACTTTACTTACTATTTTTTATGCTTTGATTGTTAAATTTGAATAATAAACCGACAATCAGAAATTCATTTGATAAGTTAGACTGCGATTGAAGATTTTCGATCAACGCCATCTCTCGAAGCTTCGACTTATTACTAGCACTGTAAAATGTATAAGAAGATATTTTGAAAATCATGAATATAAAAAACAAAATATATAGTATAGTAAAAAAATAATTAATTAATTAAAAAGTATTCAACAAAAAACTATTAATTCAGAAAATTTTTATAAAAAGTTTATTGATTATTATACTTTTGATATTAATAATATTTTTTTTTTTTTTTTTGCTAAACACATTTCGAATAAGAATTACATTTTAATTATAGCAATTACATTGCGCACTTATCGAATTAATTTTAAGAAATTTAAATCAGATTCATCTACGAGAATCATTCGTATTATAAGAATAACTTTGTGAACGTGATAAACGGAAATTTCTGTGCACTCTCCAAATTCTAGGTAATTTTTGTTAAAATAACAAATTTTTCATATATTTCTATAAGACATGTTTCATGATTAGAAAACATCAAACTGCAACTCACTTGCACAATATAAAATAATGTTATGATATCTAAAAGACATTGAAATTATAAAACGACGATCCTGAACAAAGTTTCACAAGAAGATTTCCAACACTGTTTTGAGTAATGAAAATGCCACTGGACGAGTATATACGAGTTCAAAACAAGATTATTTTGAAGAAGATACCATCTATTTGCTATAATTTTGACATAATTCTATCAATTTCTTGAATAGAATAGTAAGTATTACTCATTTTTTGGGGTAAAATTTTTATGACAAACTTCATTCATGGAAACAATTAATTCTCTTTTAAATAAGTTGATGACTTAATAAGAAAAAATTAACTAAAATTGTAACTACACGAAATGATTAAGTTATTCATGCATATTTGCGCGTTTATTACAAAGAAGATATCCAAGAATAAAATTTATTCAATATTATATATTACTTGCTCAATATCATTTGTTAATATTCAAATCATTTGCATGAATAGCAGACAATCTATACATTTTATACATCACATCTATTACTATTTCATACTATTACTATTACTATTATATCTATTACTATTATACATCATATCAATTATTTTTTTTTTTCTTATTTATTCATCAAGTTTTATCCTTCCCAAGGATATAAGGTGACAATTTCAATTAAACCTTAAGAGATAATAATTTATTCTTGCTATATTCGTAACGATTTTTTTTTCCAGTGGTTATAATAATAAAATAATAATGACTGATTTTGTTCAATAAATAATTCATTAGAAATAGATTATTACTATTCATAATTCGAACTAAAATATAGATCTCTAATCAATGTTGAGCAAAAAATAGGCATATCTTCTTTTTTTTCACTTTCTGCTTTAATAATTAACGATGATTATTGTTAACATTTCTATGATATTACAATTCTTCCAATGTTCGTTAATAACTTTGCATAAAGTTTGAATATAAAATGAACCATCTTTTTCACAAATTGAATTATAATCTGTGAACGAAACAAATATCTTTATTAGAAAAATTCGTTCTGGATAAAAAAAAATTTTTCCTGCTTATAACTAAGAAAAAAAAAATAAAAGCAAATACCTTTCTTAGTACTGTAATAGTATAAAAAATCTGCATTCGTAGGAATCTTGTAGGTTATTTTATCTGAATCTGTATGACTATATATTACTACCAGTAATTTTATTTTCACAATGATTATGAGGCTGATAAAACTAAGAAATAATACGATAGATTCTCATAAGAAAATGCAAAACAATTTGTAAATAATTATACACTATTATATCATAAATATATAAGTAAATATGTACAGCAATAAAATTATTCACAGGATTGTACAACACTTACCTGTACGAAAAATAGTTTTGGTTTACCGGCCAAGTATCCGCAGTGAATCCATCGAAACTATATATCCAACCATTTTTCTTACCATAAGTTAAAATAAAGATGCAAATGCAATCAGAATCACTGTGATCTTCATATTTTACTGAAAAATGACAGATATTAATCCTATTATTATTAATCCATCTATCATGAGAATAGAATCTTATTTTATTTTTATTGACAATGATCACTTGAAATTCATGATATAAACTCGTTTCTATTCAAATTCTCCCTCCCCCCCCCCTCCTTCTTCCTTCTCATGTTCGACGAAATATAAAAGAAATTCCAAATTTTGGTCAAGCCGCGTAAAGATTAAATTTTGATTCTACCATTCCAAAGATGTATCCAGTTTCAGTTTCAATCTTCTTACAGTTATTCGACTTTCACAATATTCGCAATGAAAATTCGAGCGTATAAATATCGAAAATTCTGCTAACAGAATTATTAATTACATACATTCCTCAGTGATATCTGTAATTTCAACTGAATTCAAATCCTTATAATCACAATTTCGAAACCAAAGAGCTGAAAAGGTTTTGCTTATCATAGCTTCATCACGGTTCCATTTTATTGGATCGCATAATTTTTGTTCCAACTTTTCGTGAACGAATACCACACATTTGCTGCGCTTTTTGTGTGTCATCATGTAGACAGGACTATCTATCGACGTAAAGGATTCAACGTCCGTTCTGTAATGTAAATCAACGTTTTGTAATATTAATCGATATACAATATTCTGTGATACAATAAACGCAGAAAAAAGAAAAAAAAAGAAGAAATTTAAATTTAGACTCAATTACCTTTTCTGTTTATTCAAGGAACTTTCTTCAGAATTTGGTTTCGTCGATTCGCTAAAACAACGTAAATTTTATTTCAATAATTTTTTAACATTAGTTAAATCAATAAAACATATAAAATTTACATTAAAAAATATATCTTAAATTTTTACTTCAATTATCGATGGGTGATCTACATTTTGATTTAAAATTTTTAACACGATTATTCACACTGAACAAACGAACATACTGAAATAATAAAATTGAGTTCCTAACCTATCCTAAGATAGGATAAATGATAATTGGAAATTAATATAGACAATATGATACAGTAGCAATACAATAGCGTTTTGTGAATAAGTCAAAAACTAAAATTGACAGCTTTATATGTGAAAGAAAAAATTATTCAAAATGATATTGTTTTTCCTTTCGAAGTTATAAAGATTATCAATAAGGAAAATTAATCGTTAAGTTCATTTTTTTATTAACTATCTTAAGTCGATTATCTTAAATATTAACAATATATATATATATGTCAATAATGATAAGCTTCATCATTTAATAGATAAAATATATTATATTTGATTATCCTTGATTAAAAGTTAATGTTTACTTCACTATTATCAATTTATATTCTCTCACATCTAATATTTTGATAAGAATAATAAAGAATAATTCACTTCTGATCCAATAAAGAACAAATAACAAAAATAACAGGATTTATGTATTTCGCAATTATTAGTTCGTAATCTTACAAACAGAAGATATTTCAATAAATTTAAATCTCTAGTTTTAGAAACAAATTATGTAAATATTTCTTTATTTTTCCCTGCAACTTCGTTTTTTGAAAGTTGTATACCTTTCATTACGTTCAAATAATTTTTCATTTTCGATTTCAATGAAATTACATTCATTTTCAAATTCAATCAATGTGGTTTCTCTCCGTTTCCGTATCTTCAATTCGTTTACTTATCTTGACAATAATAATTATTCGAGAATTTTCACAAAGGAAACGTGATTCACTTTAAAATTGCAGAAAAATAATCAATAATAACAAAATCTAAGCGATAATACGAAACGATATACATACATATATATTTTAGTACTTTATTATTGAATTTATAACATTCTAATATTCCGATAAAAATATATTCGAACTAAATTTTTATTAGATTCTTCTCTTCAAATTAATGTTATACCTTTGATTATCGATTACATATTGATTATACGTAATTTTTGGATTATTCGACAAAATATAAGATTATTTCAACATGTTGTAAAACAAGATGTTATTAACTTAATTGATTCTAAATCTTTCTGCACTGCAGCAAGCTGCCATTTTAATTGATTAGACTTGATTGATATCCTCACACAATAATTATATTATGAATAACATTTCACGTGTACATGTATTCCCATTCTGAAAAAATAATATAAAAACTTTTAGAATAAAAATTATGTCGAAATTATTTAAAAAATTATATATAAATTACTTAAAAAATAGCTTGTCCTTGGCTACACTACAAATTATTGGATATTTTTCCTGATTTATCATTATCATAATCATGTGATAACGATTTCGAAGACCGTTTTTCATTAAACGAAAAAAAAAAAAATGCACATGGAACAAGTGATCGACAATATAATAAGAATGTTTGCTTCAACAATGCAGAGATTACTTTTTCCAAATATGCACGATTTCATATGTACTTTAGAGAAACAGAAAATTTGTATAAATTAATTGTAGCATTTACCTTCTTATTGAATTCATCATTCGAAATTGGCTGGTTATCTTGATGATCAAATTTACTCATTGTCCCACAACAAATAATTGGAAAAATAGATGAAACATCAGAAATTCAGGTAAAACAGAATTATGAACATGTAATCTTATATAATGTATATTTATACAACCGTGGAAATTTATCATCATTATCGGATGAGTAATATTTTGATATATATAATTATATAAGATATACATGTGTAATTTATATATGCGAATTATATATACGTGTGTTTATAAAAATGTGAGACATATTTGGAAGGTGAATTCTAGACATAAAAAAAGTTCATATATACATATGTTCGAAAAAGATTAAAAAGTTATAAGTATTTTAAATTTATATTAGATAGAGCGAGACGGCAAATGAGCGAAAACGTTCAGCTGGGTGCGCGGCAGTACCGTATTGCAATGTCTCCTCCGTAGCGGAGGCCCTCGATGAAAATAAATATATCGATACTTTTTTATATACAATTGATTAATTCAAATGAATTTCAGTGTAATGTAATATAATGTTCGTATTATGAAACTTAATTTATTCAACGAAAACTTATAATAAGTTTTAGTAAATTTCAGAATATTAACATATACACCACTTTTTATAAATCCGTAGATAACTTATTTTATAGTACAAACAAATTATTTAAACTCATAGTTGAATCGTTGTATGGCGCTCAATCTGCCTTACTTACCGAAATCCATAAAAGCAAATCAAAACGCATAAGATTACAGGTTAGAAAGATTGAATGTACTTTTTACACATAAACTTGTTTATCCTCATATGTACAAGAAAGTCACTAATTACACTCGAATCAATTTGAAATTCATAGACCAAATGAAGCATCGATTGAAAAATCTTTGTCTCTATTTCAATATTTTAGAATTTAATATTAAATTCAATATTTTTTATTAGAATATGAGATTACTAAACAAGAAAGTTGAAATTCAATATCTATATTTTAATATAATACTAATGCCACTATCTTATATCCACTAAAAAATCATATAAGCATTGCATTTTTCTTTTTCACATTACTATTGCATATTAGATTTCTTTTTATCCACTATTCACATTAATTTCTTTGAAGAAAATTATTTCGATTGTTATTTATTTTGTTGTACATTTTAATTTTATTTGAAAATTATTTAATTAAAACTTTGATAATATTTAAAACAAATATTCAAATATGAATCATTTTCTGAACTAACTCCATGACGCGACAATGTGTTACTGAAATAGCGTGCTAACGCTGGACGTTAGAAAAAGAAAGTTGAGAGAAGAAAAAATGAGATAGTAATATTTGACATCGAATGTAATGTTGTATGTTTTAAGTATAAGAATACGAAAGCCTAGTTCAGCAGTCTTTTCCGTTGGTAAGATAGTGTTGCTTTGTTCTGGATTCAGTTCGTTCATAACATTCATGTAACGTATATTAGAAATAAAAGTGTGAAGAAAAAAAAATCAGTGAATTTGAAATATTCATTCAAATATACATAAAAAAAGAAATCGCGATATGCATTTTTTATGGATATATGATATTGATTCATATTATTAATAAGTGATATCCAGATCGATTATTATTTCTCTTTTCATAAAAATGAAAAATATTTAGTGAAATAAAGATAAATATTTGTCAGTGATTCGATTGGATAATTTAATATTCTCAAATTCAAATTGATTCAAGTATCATCAATACTTTCTCGGACTTTCTTATACATGTGAAAATAATTAAAACAGCAATTATGCATATAAAAACACATTCAACCTTTTTAACTCGAAATTTTATAGAAGAGTGTTTTGATTCTGTGAATTATGGATAAATACAGCAAGTTGAATGATTTATCTATGATTTTAAATGAAATATTGTATAATCATATAACTCCTATAACTCTTAACCTAACATCATAATATTGTGGAATTTGGTATAATTTGAGGTAAGTTTCTGTTAGATAATTAATTACATAATTTCAATTTGCATAATTAAAATTTTTTTTTAATGATGATAAAAATGTTGCATAGTTGCATACGATATTTATGTATATTGTATATTATCTTATATTGAAATTCATTTGAAATAATCAATATGTATATAAAAAAATATCAGTGTATTTACTTTCATTTCTTTTTTTTTTTTTTTCTATAGTTACAGTGTTTCGTTTTCTTAAAAAATTCTTAAAAATTCGTTAGAAACAGATTACGTTATTATTCCACGGATTTCTAAGTAAAATATAGATTTCTAATTAATGTTGAGACAAAAAAAGGCATTTGCTTCTTTTCGTTTTTACTCGAGTTATTGTGTTGAGATAAATATTCCGTGGCAACTATCCGTGATGTTATCGTTAACATTTTTATCATATCACAATGCTGCCAATACTCATTAATAACTCTGCATAAAGTTTGAATATACCACGAGCCATTATTTTCACGAAATGCATAATAACCTGTGAACGGAACAAATATTTTTATGGAAAAATTCGTTCTGGATAAAAAAAATTTTTTCTTAGCTTATAGCTAAGAAGAAAAAATAAAAGCAAATACCTTCCGAAGTACTGAAACAGTATAAAAAATCTGCTCTCGTAGGAATTATGAAGCTTGGTTCATTTGAATCTGTATAAGTATCTTCAGTACCTTTATCATCTTTGAAACTTTGGCAATCCTGATGAAGATAAGTACCTTCAATACCTTCATCGCCTTCGGAACCTTTGCAAGCCTGATAAAGATAAACAAATAATATCGGTTCTTGTAAGAAAATGCATAAAAATTTGTAAATAATTATACACTATTATATCATAAATATATAAGTAAATATATACAGCAATAAAATCATTCACAGGATTATGCAATATTTACCTGTACGAAAAATAGTTTTGGTTTGCCGGCCAATGATGGGCAACTATCCGCAGTGAATAATTGCCAGATTATGTTAATTGAATAAAAAGACCCATCGGAAGCATATATTGCACCTTTACTGTCGCCGTGTGTTAACACAAAGAAGCAAATGCAATCAGAATCACTGTGATCTTCATCTTTTACTGAAAAATGACAGATATTAATCCTATTATTATTAATCCATCTATCATGAGAATAGAATCTTATTTTATTTTTATTTTGACAATGATCACTTGAAATTCATGGTATAAACTCGTTTCTATTCAAATTCTTCCTCTCCCCCCCCCTCCTTCTTCCTTCTCATGTTCGACGAAATATAAAAGAAATTCCAAATTTTGATCAAGCCGCGTAAAGATTAAATTTTGATTCTACCATTCCAAAGATGTATCCAGTTTCAGTTTCAATCTTCTTACAGTTATTCGACTTTCACAATATTCGCAATGAAAATTCGAGCGTATAAATATCGAAAATTCTGCTAACAGAATTATTAATTACATACATTTATCAATTATATGTATAATATCAATGAAGTACAAATCCTTATGAATCACAACTTCGAAACCAAGAGCTGAAAAGGTTTCTCTTATCGCATTCTCATCATAAACCGTCTCGTTTCGATATAAATTTATATCTGGGAATTTCTTGTGGCTGAATACCACACATTTTCCGCGGTTTTTCCGCTTCATTGAGTAGACAGGGCAATCTTTCGGGATAATCAATTTAACGTCGATTCTGTAATGCATATCAACCTTTTGTAATATTAATCGATATATAATATTCTGTGTAAACGCAGAAAAAAGGGGAAAAAGAAGAAATTTAGATTTAAATTCAATTACTTTTCCTGTTCACTCGAGGACGATTCTTTCATCATCTCAGTATAATCCATCGTGGAACTTTCCCCAAAATGGTTTTGTTTCGCCGACTCGCTAAAACTCTAAAATAAATAATTAAAAACATATAAAATTTATCATCGAAGAATACACTTTAAATTCTAACACCTCAATTATCAATGGTTGATTTAAATTTTTGATTTCTGAAATTTTAACATATAACATCAAACTTAATCCACATTGGACTCAAAATGCAATTGTGTTCTTAGCTAAGATAAGATAGATAATAATCGCGTATCAATATTAGGTATTAAGTCAATATATATGTATATCAATCAATATGTATATCTGAATAATGATAAGTTTCGTTTAATAAATCTATATTATTTTTGATTAAAATTATTAATGTTCACTTATTATTTGTTTTCTTTCTTATCTAAAATTTTGATAAAAATAATTAAGAATAATTCATTTCTGATCCAATAAAAAACAAATAAGAAAATAATAGGATTTATGTATTTCACAATTATCAGTTTGTACTCTTACAAACAGAAGAATTTAGAAACTTTAAATAATTAACTGCATATTAATATTAATTTTTAAATACTCTCATTAATTGATTTTAAATCATTTCGCACCTCAGAAATAGCTATTTTGATTAATTAAATTTGATCGCTAATAATCAATTTTAGATTTAGAAAATGCACATAAATATATGTTTGTACTCCTAACATTTTATAAATATATAAATCTCAATGAAAAATTTATAAAACAAAATAAAGAGAAAGCTTCAACGTAAAACGAGTTATTTGAAAAAATATAAATTATTTAGAAACACCAGTTCCGCCATATCTCGATCGATATGGCCGTTTCTTCTCGTTTGTATCGTTATATGGTAATTTTGAACATTGTTTTTTAAACGAAAAAAAAAAAAAAAAATAGCACATCGAACAAATGATCGAAACGACAATGACGTCTGTTTAAATATTAATAAACACAAATCACTTTTACCAAGTATGCATGATTCCATACATATTTCTTCTAAAGCGAGATAGAAAACTTGTGTGTGAAACTTCAACTTGGCGCAACATTTACCTCATTATTGGATTTATCGTTCGAATTTGACTGATTATCTTGATGTCGATTGTCGATTTCAGGTATTCTCCCAAACAAATAATTGGAAAAATAAGTAATGGAACGAGTGATAAGGTAGAGCAGAATTATGAACATGATCAAATTCTGGGCGTGTTGATCTATATTTGTCTTTCATATGACTGAAGGAATTGATAGTTTATTATCATTATATTATCCAGATTTTTAATTTCAACTTATCGACAAAGTAAATGCTCAATGTAAGATTAATATAAAAAACGAAACGTACAGTTTCGTATAGGAAAGATATTGATTAAGAGAAAAAGAAAAAAGAAAAAAATACTTTCCACGAGAAACATTGATTCAGAAAATTTGTAGAAAATTTAACGTGGAATAACAATTTTCTTTCTTTAAGCTAAACTATTTTAATCATGGAGAGATTAAATTACGCTTGAATCAATTTTCATCATTCACGAGAGAGATTTAATAAAGATTCACTTATGAAGATCATTTATATTATAGGAATAACCTTGGAAACATGAAACGGAAATTTCAGTAGATAACCAAGTTCCAAAAGAAAATGTAAGTTGAAATTATAAAATTCTTCGCATATCTCGTCGTAAGTCTTAAAGTAAGATCGCGAAATTTTAAACAGTAACTCTTTTTTATAACAATAGAATTTATTTGCTTATAGAAGAAAATTTTTTCAAGCTCTTATAAACTTGATTTGTATTAATTTTTAATATCATAAACCTGACATATCGCGGAATCTTATCATAATTTTGTTCGAAACCACGGTTCGATTCGAAAAAAAAAAATTCTTGAAAATCGTCCTAGAATTTCATTTCGAGATAAATTCGTAAAACGGATTTATTTTTCATCAACCTTTGATTGGTGACGGAATATTTCTTCTGTTTAAAGTAATAAGAACTTTCTTCATTTCGAAATGTTCGAATCGAAGGATCGATTAAATAACGATGAGAGATCGTACAAAGACAAGAGCTCGAGAAAAAATCGTTGAATGGAAGAAAAAAAAAAAAAAGAACGTAATAAAAATCGTGAATCAAGAGGAAATTTCATTATCAAAAAATTGAAGAGAGGAAAAAATATATGATCCTTCGTTGAAGAAAAAAACTTCGGATAAATAATTATGTAATAATATTGGAAACTAATTTTGTAAGTTATTCTTCAAAAATAAATTAGTAAATAATACGTGATACCTCGTATACAGGAAAAGAAAAGTTGTTCTTATCTCTCTGAACACTCTTTTTTATTAATTTGTTTACATTAAAAGAATTAGAAAATTTATAAAATGACGAGATTTTTCATAAATAAAATAATTTAATATAATTATGTAAGAAAATTATAATTATATGTTTAACTTAATATTCATGTTTTAATTTAATTGTTTACGAAATATATAAGAGATCATATAAATACATTATTTCCTTAATTTTAAGATTTTATTTCAACATTATCCGTATATAATTTTAGAAATATTAATTTTTCGACTTTTATTGGCATTCATTTATAAAGAGGTTCAATTACAATATAAAAAGTATTTAAAAAGGAAAAATATTTTATTCAAATAACATAATTCTAATTCAAAAAAGCAATTCTCTTTGTTCTTTTTCAAGGCAATTTAAATTATTCAAAATTACTTATTACTTATTAATTGCTCAAGATCTCCTCAATAGTTGCCCAAATCCTATTAATCCCTCAGATACATATTGCATATTGCATATTGCAATGCATTTGTAATTTTTTTTTCTTTTTTTTTTTATTGATTCATCTATTGCATTTGTCAATTTGTAAATTAAAAAATATTTTCCAAAAAAATACAGTAATGATTTTAACCAGTTTTCTTTAAACATTGAGCAATAATATTCTAATCTAATAATTGTAACGATACGACGAATCATCATCATCATGTTTGTACAAAATGGCAGTAATATTTTTATAAACGTAACTTTGTCTTATAATTCTTTTTGTTTTCCCTTTTTTCATCTAATGGTTACAACATTAATGATGGATTTTCTTATAAAATTAATTCGTTTGGAAATAGATCGTTACTGTTCCACGAAATTCGAATTAAAATATAGATCTCTGGTCAATGTTGAAGTGAAAGTAGGCATTTGCCTCTTGTTGTTTAAACTCGATTTATCATGTTGAGATGAATATTCTGTAGCAACTTTCCGTAGTGTTATCGTTAACATTTTCAACATGTCACAATCCTTCCAATGCTCCTTAATAACTTTACATAAAGTTTGAATATACCATGAACCTCTATTCGTATCACGAAACGAATAATAACCTATGAACGGAATAAATATCTTTATTATAAAAATTGTTCCAGATAGAAAAAAAATTTTTATTATAATCAAAATTAATAAATAAATAAAAAGAAATACCTTCCATAGTGCTGAAAGCGTATAAAAAGTCTGCAGTAGTAGGAAGCATATAAGTCATTTCATCTGAATCTGTATTAGAGGATCTACCCTGAATACCTGGATCGCTGGCTGTACCTCTACAAGCCTGACGGAGGTAAAAAATAATATCGTAAGAATTATCGATTCTCGTAAGAAAAGATATTTGTAAATAATTTATATACTATTATATCACAAATATATACTATACAAAGATATTTATAAATAATTATATATTATTATATCACAAATAATATATACAACGATAATATCATTCACACGATTATACAATACTTTACCTGTATGAAAAATAGTTTTGGTTTACCAGCCAATGATGTGCAACTGTTTCCACTGAATGGTTGCCAGATCATCTGAACCGGATAAGGCATATCGTACGCAGATACATTATCACCGATTTTGCCGTGAGTTAATACAAAGAAACATATGCAGTCGCAATCATCATGTTTTTCATTTTGCACTGAAAAGTAACCGATATTACTTCTATCTTATATCAAAGAAAAATTATATTTATTCGTCAGAAGCTCGGAATTAAATCAATCAAGAGGGAGCATCTATCTATTATGAGATTATGAGATTCTAACCTTATTTCATTTTTGTCGAAGTAACGATAACTATAAGGGAAAACGGATTGAAAATTCGTTCATTCTAAGAAATTTATGATGCACATATTATTTCAACGTGGATACATTATATACTCGTTTTTATAGTATTCAACAATAAGCAAAGTATTCTCTTCACCGATGAAAAATTTTCTTTGATTGTAAAACTCATCGATAAAATTCTTTTTTCTTCCTCTTTATATTTCGACGAAGCACAAATGAAATTCCAAATTTTGAATTGAAAGTCGTGTAAAAATTAAATTTTGATTCCACACCATAAAATTATCCAGGTTTGAAGTCCGATTTTTCTCTAATTCTTTAATTAATTTTTATCGTTATTTCACAAACAAAATCGAAGCGTGTAACGAATAAATATATACAAATTTGTTGACAAAGATTATTGATTACATACAATTCATAATGATATCGACAATATCGTTGAACCTCTTATCCTTATAGATCCTCACTTCGAAACCAAGAGCAGAAAAGGTTTCCTTTATCACGTCCCCATCATACTCCGTCCCTTCTCGAGGTAGTTCTCTTCCATTTTCGAAGATCTTGTGGTTGAATACCACGCATTTGCCGCGTTTTCGCATCGAGTAAATAGGGGAATCTTTCGGCGTAACGAATTTGGCGAATCTGAATGAAAATCAACGTTATAATCAATTAATTAATAGTATATATATTGCGTAAAAACGCAGAAGAAAAAAAGAAGAAATTTAAATTTAAATTCATTTACTTTTTCTGCTTGGGTTTATCCGACGGTGTTAACATATGGGCATCCGTCATATCGTTCGTCTTGAAACTTTCGCCGAAATTTGTCGGTTCGTTCTGCAAATAATTTTATTTCAAGATTCTCTTTTATCCCAACAATCAATTATATTTTGCAATAATTTATCAACTTAATAATATTAACGTATAAATTGTATCACAATTGTTATATTAATAATAGATTTTGTATTTTATAATAATATAAATAAATAATCGATTGTGTACATATTCGATGTGGAAAAATTGGCTTAAGGAATGCTAAATTGATTGATAATTCAATAGTTGAAGAAATAGAAAATAAGAATATAATGACGTTATTCATTATGTATCGCGTTAAAATTATCTCAATTTCTGCAATGGTATCATATAATATCTAATATCGATTCGACGTGATCCATCGTTCTTCAATATGTGATCTTTTTCTTTTTTTTTTTTTTTTATTTTTTTCAAATCTTGGTCATTTTATGATAAAACGATCATGTTATCAAACAAAAATGATAAAATACGATAAAAACGGATTTCCGCAATGGAAAGGCCATATTATATTTTGTTCGATTTCCCTCGAAATACCTCCTTTTCTAATTTTGGATACAACACGAAGAATCGAAAGGACAATCTTTGTTAAAAGTTTCAAAATTATCGCGATTGAAAACGTTCTGTAAGATTGTAATTTAAACGAATTAATTTAACTTTTCCACATTTAAAAATATACTTCGAACGATCAATAGTCGAACTAAATTTTGATTTGAAATTTTCACATATATTTCATATTTTATTTATGGTTAAGTTACACGTTTAACCTAATATTATATATATATATAATTAGAGTTTTAGCTAAAGAATAGGTTAAGTGACACTCGTGTATCGTGCAATGTGTTTATAATATAGCAATAATATTTTGTGAATAGACAAACTCGAAAACTAAAGTTGATAATCTGTATTATATGTAGAAGAAAAAAATTATTCAAAATGGTATCTTTTACGACGTATTTTTCATTAAAAAAAAAAAGGAAGAGAAATTAATCGTTAAGTTCATTTTTTTTATTAACAATCTTAAGTCGATTATCTTAAATATTAACAATATATATATATCAATAATGATAAGTTTCATCATTTAATAGATAGAATGTATTATATTTGGTTATCTTTGATTAAAAATTAATTAATGTTTACTTATTATCAGTTTATATTCTTTCACGTCTAATATTTTGATAAGAATAACAAAGAATAATTCATTTCTGATCCAATAAAAAACAAATAAGAAAATAACAGGATTTATGTATTTCGCAATTATTAGTTTGTAATCTTACAAAAGATATTTCAATAAATTTAAATCTCTAGTTAAACAAATTATATAAATATAATATAATTATATAAATATTTTTCCATTTTTCTCTGCTCTTTTTGTTTTTTGAAAGTTGTATACCTTTTAGTACGTTCAAATAATTTTTCAATTCGATTTCAATGAAATTTCGTTCATTTTCAAATTTAGTCAACGTGGTTTCTCTCCATTTCCGTATCTTTAATTCGTTTATTTCGTTTATCGATAATAATATTATTCGATAATTTTCAAAGAAAACGATTCACTTTAAGATTGCAGAAAAATAATCAATAATAACAAAATCTAAGCAATAAAGCGAAACGATATGCATACATATATATTTTAGTATTCTATTATGAATTTATAACATTCTAATATTCCGATATAAAAATATTCGAATTAAATTTTTATTAAATTCTCTTCCAAATTATATAATAAAGTTATATTTTTGAATATTGACTACGTAATATTTTTACGTAATTGTTCGATAAAATATAAAATTATTTCAACATGCTAATGTAAAACAAGAACAGATGTTATTAACTTAATCGATTCTAAATTTTTTCGCATTGCAGGTTCTTTGATATCACGAATAACGAAAATTCTCGGCGAAAATACACATGTTCGTAATTCCTTTGTAATAACATTTTTTTAAATCTCATTGACAAATTTATAAACCATAATTATGACTAACATTTTATAAATTATTTTATAAATTATTGTTTCATATCCCGAATCAAGCATATCTTATTCAGCTTCAAATTATCGGGTATTTCTCATAGTTTATCATTATCATAATCATGTGATAGCGATTTCGAAGGTCGTTTTTCACTAACAAAAAAAAAAAAAAAAAAATAGCACATTGATCAAATGATCGACAATACGAATGAAGCAACAATAATGTTTGTTTAAATATTAATGCAGAGATTACTTTTTTCAAATATATGTGATTTCATATATACTTTTCAGACAGAGAAATAGAAAATTTGTGTAAAATTTCAACTTACTGCAATACTTACCTCGTTACTGGATTCATCGTTCGAATTTGACTGATTATCTTGATCATCGATTTCATGCATTCTCCGAAACAAGTAATTCGATAAATAGATAGTGGAACGAGTGATCAGGTAAAGTAGAATTATGAACATGATGTAGTCCTGGACGTGCTGTATATTTATACTTTATATAAGTGAAGAATTATAGCTTATCATCATTATCACTCACTATCAGATGAGCAATATATATATATATAAAATATATAATATATATAAAATATATATATGTAATTTCTATTAATATATATTATGATTAAATGTATTAAAACAAAATATATATAATATATATATTATAGTCCTTACGCATTGTTTTACTTCCAGAATATTTTTCAATTTGTATAACTTTCAATTTTTATTTTATCATTTTAGAATATTTTTATAATTATTTGCTACTTCATTTTGTAAAAATCTATTGAAATAAGTTAAGCCAATCAATTTCTTAATAAAAATTTCTCGAAATTAATACAACAAATTGGATAACTGAGATTTAATCTGATGGAATATTGGAATCAAAATATAATTCGAATATAATTGATCAAAGTCAATTTCTTTCGTATTTTGTTAAACTTAAAAAAAAAAGAAAAATAGTCAATGAAAAAGGAAATAGGACTTTTGTTCAGAATACGTAAAGAGGAATCATTCTATTTTAGATACTTATTGATACTTGACTATTATACTTGATCTCTCTTGCATTTCTCTTTTTCGATATTCATTTTCTTCTTTTCATATACGTTTTTCTGCAACTTTAACATTTTCTCGGCATTTGGCTAATCGCCAATTTCTTTTCGCATTTGATTGTTTTATATTTAATCTTATAAAATCATTTATCTTTTTGATTTTGATTATCCAAATTTTTCAAGGGCGCATATTTATAAACAATCGCTGCGATAATATCCCGATTTTTTACAATCATGGACGAAAAATAGCATACTTCATTAATTCTTTCTGAATAATTTTGAAAATAATAGCACATATGTAAATATTTAATATATACAATTTTCAGATATGTAATTGGATTGATGTATTGCTCTTCAACTTAATATAGATTATCGTTTATCATATTATTTTTTAAAAAGTTTGTTAAAAAAATTGTATACCATAATTTTGCTTTATTCATTTTGATTGACGAATTATGAATGATATTCATCTTACACGAAACAACTAATTAATTTATTTATTATTCGATTGTTTTTCGTTAAAAAAAATATTCATTTATTCAATTATTTATTGTATTGTAATTTTTTCGACACATGTTGTTTGAACTTGTTTGTTTAAATACGAGGTGTGTATCGAACACTATCGCGTCGCAGTTGATTAAAATTTGAACAGTTGAAATTAAGAATAAAATGTAATTATTTCAGTAATTTATTCAAAAACATCAATAATTTAATCAATAATTTAATCAAAGCATCGATATTATATCAATTATAATAAATATAATAAGAATAAATGTTATTCAAGAATTTTAAATAAAATTATTTAAAAAACTTAGTTACTTTAGTAACTTTATTCAAAATTTTAACTAGTTACTTTTTCAGCGAGCTTAGTACCGAATTTTCCAACTTATTCTGCACTCTACGATCATTCTATACATTCTATGCTTGGACAATGTTTTTTGTTAATAAAGCAAAATAAAAGTTTTTACAAAGAAAAATGTTGAAGTTATCTACGGAAGTTATGTACGGAATCTATTATATCAATTAAATGATATTCCTATATTTTTAAGATTCTTATACATATTAATATATATATATATTAATCATGAATGTTCATTATAAATTAATCTTGAAATATAATTTTATTGATAATTTTATTGATATTATTTATTGATAATAAAATAAGATTAAATATAGAATATAAGATCAAATTGCATTAAATAAATATTTTGTATATAAATTAGAAAAAAATAAATTAAATAAAGATAATTAAAAACTATTAATTAGGGAATCATTCAGAATCATCGATAAGTAGTATTGCTAGTATATCATATATTGTTCATGATTGTTTGATTTTTCATCTCATTTGTATTGTATTGTTTTATATTTATATATATTTCATATTATATCAATATAATTTATATATTATTATTTAATATTAATATTAATATTATAAAATTATAAATTATAAAATAAAATTATTAATATTAATATTATATTAATATTAATTTTTTTTATTAATTATGCATTATAACATATAAAATATTTATAATATATTTTTATATTTCAAAATGCATATTGTTTAAATAAAATTATTTTATATTTTATATTATATATATTATTTTATATTTTTATATTATATATATTTTATTCTGTTGTTAAAGAAATTTTCAATTATTTTAAAAAAAATCTAAAATTACTATAACTTTAATTTTTTCTGAAAAAATAAAATATTATTTCTAAATACATAATAATCTGATATTATCATCCTAATTTATTCTAATTTATTTACTGAAAAATAAAATTGAATAAATTTAAAAATTTATTGAAATAATAGAATTGATTGCTTTTAAATTTTATCGTTTGAAAACTTATTTTTAATGCGATTTAAATTATTATTACATTGCTTCAGTTTTACTAAATATAGAGTAATTAAAAAGTAATTTAAATTTGGCGCATAATATATCATTTAATTAAACTGAAAGATAAAAAGTCAACATTATATAAAAAAATTCAAAAGTTTCATATGTAGATAATTTCTGAATCAATTAATTCCAATTGTTAATTTTTAAAAATTTTTGATTCTATTCTTCAAAACTTATAAAAAATTCAAAATATTTAATATTCCAAATTAAATTCAATTGAAATTAATACTAAAATATTAATTATGAATATAAATATTCAAATATAATAAAACATTAGATGACAATATGGATTTTGCCATATTATAATTTTACTAATATTTATATATATTTTTATTCACACTAAAAATAAGAGGCTTCCGCCATATTTTCATGTGTCTATCAATATTGTATCAACGAAGCAACATTCAACAAGCAACAGTTTTTGTTCTTTAATAACGAAATTACGTAAATATAACAATTCGATAGATTAATTATTTTTTTAATCTTTAAGTGTCACAGTTGGTTTTTTGAAACAAAAAGTTTCATTCGCAGTTTGATATATTTTATGATTGTTTTTATTAATTATATTGTACTTAAATATTTCTTTAATATTTCATCGACTTTGTCTTTCAATCGACTGCTATTTCTTTAAATAATAATTTATTTAGATAATTTTTTTATTTAAAAAATGACAAAGTTTAATTGATCATATGTTCTTTTTCATATTTCAATCTGTGCAAAAAAAAAAAAGAATAAATTGCGCATTTAGTTAAAATGTATTTTCGTCGATTTGCGTCAAAATAATAGTTTGTGTATGGATTATTTCGAAGAACTGTATCAATCCAAGTGTATAAGTATATATTTCAAAAATTTTTATAATTTTTTTTTATATTTTATAATGAAAATAATATAATAAAAATAATTATAATATATTTATTTTAATATTATATATTTAATTTCAGTTATGATTCTATTTTATGGGATAAATTAAGAGAGAATTTGTAAAAATATAATTTCTCATACAAATGTAATTATTCTAAATAAAAATCAAATTTTGGAATACATTTTTCAAAATGATAAACTCAACCCTGAATCCTTATTTAAATTCAAATACTTCGCTTGGTATAGATCAAGCTTATTTCAGTATTTTAAATTTGTATTTTAATCCTGTTATATTTTATGCAATAGCATGGGAAGCTTATACAGTATGTATTTATTTTTTTTAAAATTAATACATATAACACATATGTGATATAAATAAACATTTAAATTTCATTATAATTGATTTATAGGGAAATGGTATTCCAATAGCCACTTTAGAACCACATAGTAATACAACTTTAAAAATAAGCACAAAATATCCATTACATATATATTATCAATCTATTGAAGCTGACAGAGTTTATGAATATTGTCAGTAAGTATTTTTTTCTAAATATATATAATATTATTAAATATATTACATATATATATTTTTAAATATATATTTGATTCTTCATTTATATCAAATTATCTTTTTATGTCTCTTATAGTACAACTTATACTTTCAAAGAACATGGAAGTTATGGATGGAATATATCAAATGCTTATTTGTGTTCTAATATTTATGTATTACATGAACCAACAGAGAGTTATCTTCGTAAGTGCTATTTTAATATATTATATTTTAATATATTATTACATTTAAAAGTAATTATAAAATATTAACAGATTATTTCTTTTACAGCAATTTTGGCAGCTTTTATAATATATGTTCTATTAGCAATTTTATGGACGACATTCAAGGTTATTATACGAGTAATAAGAGGAAAATTATCACCCAATAATATTTATGATGTAATATATTATATTTTGATATTAATTAATATATATATTATTATAATTCCGTTTCATTTATTCGATTTCATTTTAGGATTTAGATAGACTTCAAGAAGCAGAAAATGTAACAAATTTAGTAGTTAGAACTACAAAATTCAGCACAAGAATACATTCAGTAGACACATTCAGAGGGTATTTTTATATTTTTACATATTTTCTTCATAATTATCATTTCAGATTCATTATTTATTCATTATATATTATTATAGAATTGCTATACTATTAATGATATTTGTGAATAATGGAGGAGGAAAATATGTCTTTTTCAATCATAGTGCATGGTTTGGACTTTCAATAGCTGATTTGGTACTTCCTTGGTAAGAAATTGTTTATATCATAATTAATGTTCTAAATAATATAACAAATAACTTGCAGGTTTGCATGGATTATGGGATTAATGATAACTGTTTCAAAACGCACAGAACTTCGTTTAACAACTTCACGTATTAAAATAACTTTATACTGTCTTCGACGATCAGCAATATTGATTTTTCTTGGATTAATGTTGAATTCAAAGGATAGTGAATCCCTACACGATCTTCGTTTTCCCGGTGTTCTTCAATTATTAGGTGTATCATATTTTGTATGCGCCATATTAGAAACAATCTTTATGAAACCTCATTCTCAGGTTAGTATATAGTCCTTTTTATCACATAGAATTTCTATATTTATTTGATAAGTATCAAAAATAACTTATTAGGATATCTTACACCAGTTCGGCCGTTTCGCTATGTTTCGAGATATTTTAGAAAGCTGGCCTCAGTGGTTGATTATGGCTGGCATTGTGACTACACATACTTTGATTACTTTTCTTCTTCCTATATCGAATTGTCCAAAGGGTTATTTTGGTCCTGGTGGAGAATATCATTTTCGTGGAAAATATATGAATTGTACTGCAGGTGCAGCTGGTTATATAGATAGATTAATTTTTGGGAATCATACATATAATCACACAGAAAATTTTCTTTATGGTCAGATTTTACGTTATGATCCTGAAGGTAAAATGATCAAATACATATTAAATATTATACAAAATATTATTTATATATTATTTAATACACGATTATAATTAACTTACAGGATTGATGAACACTATATCAGCTATATTTATTGTTTATTTGGGAGTTCATGCTGGTAAAATTCTATTATTGTATTATCAATGTAATTCTAGAGTAATTAGATGGTTTTTATGGACTATATTTACGGTAAGAAATTAAAAATAAATTTTTCAAAATATAAAATACTTTCCTTTGATAAAAAGAAGATATTTTTGTAGGGTATTGTTGCTGGAATTTTATGTAATTTCGAAACTCAAGGAGGAATTATTCCAATCAGTAAAAGAATGATGACATTATCATACGTTTTGATTTGTTCCAGTTTCGCCTTCTTATTATACGCACTTTTATATGTCCTTATCGATTATAAGCAATTTTGGAATGGAGCTCCATTCGTTTATGCCGGTATATATAAAAATTATCGTATATACAAAATATTTTATATTTTTTATATAAAATTGTATATTCATTATTTTTTTATAGGAATAAATCCAATTTTTCTTTATGTGGGTCATATTTTGACAAAAGGTTTATTTCCATGGTCATGGAATATTGCTTTTCCATCCCATGCATCTCTTCTTGCTATGAACTTATGGACAACAAGTTTATGGACAATAATAGCATATCTTCTTTATCGGAAAGATATTATCATAACAATTTAAAAATATATGCAACTACTAAAATACTCAAAATGTTACAAATATATTTATGGCTTAATACGAATTAAACATTTCTTACTTACAATTTAACATATATGAAAAAAAAAACAGGTAACGTTATTATTACACAAAGAAAAACAATGTTTATAAACAGGGAATAAATGGCATATGTTTACATTTTGAAATGAGGACGTTGTTAATGTTAGTTAACGAATATCGAGCAGGAAAATAATTATATCAGTTTTAAATAATTTTAAAAATGTTATTTAATTTTATAATAAAAATAATAAATAAATATTTATTTTTTTCATTATTTTAGTAGTTAAGGAAAAATAAAATTCACTTGGTACATAGTATATAAGAAATTCTTAACATATAATAAATATATATATATCTTTGCTCATTATGAATTACGATCTTTTGGCTTTTTATATGGCAATTCTAAAATTCGAAAAATATCTTCTTCACATGTAATTTTTTCTGCCTTTCCTGGAGTTCCTACATCACATAGTATCATATATATATATATATATATAATAAATTTTTATCATATTTTTCTATACCTTCAGATGTAAGTCGTTTTAATGTATATTCATTCAAAGTATAATTTTTTTCCAACGCATGTGCTCTCATGCTCTTATTAAAAAGATCACTTCCAGTAAAATAAAGTACAGCACAATAATATTGATCATAAGGTATAAATCGAATATCAAGTCTTCTAAATGGTTTTTATTTTTTCCGGGTACTTTACAAACACCCTAAAATATTTAAAGACTTTTAAATATTGTCTAAATTTAATTAAATGTTTAATATACCATAAATTTTGTTGGTCCAAGAGATATTGTATCTACAATTAACTTTTTTTTTTCTAAAACATTTTATAACATTTTTTAAGATTGAGTTTTCTTTCTTTAATTTTTGTTCTTTAGATGTATATGCAGGATATGTTAATAGAACATCAATATCTCCACTATCTTCTTTTTCACGTCTATAACTTCCACAAATAATTATAATATATTCTTCACTCAAATCTGCAATAATATCTTTCATAATTTTTTCAATTTGCTCAATCTCTTTTCTGGGAATTCTTTTCTCAAAATCTTCAAAATACCTAAAAATAATTATATTATAACAAAAATCAATTTATTCTCTATTGTATTGTATATATACTTCAGTCCAATTTTTTGATGATGATTAAGCTTTTCCTCATGTTTTTTTAAATCATCTAAAGTTTTAATACCAGCAGTTACTAATTCTTTAGCTTTTGCAGGTCCAATACCAGATACACGTGTTAATAAATTTATTGCAATATTATTCTCATCTTTGTTAATCTAAAAAAATATTATAAATTTAAAAACTAATAAAAAACTCAGATAAGAAATAACTAAAATAAAGTACATCTTCTAATTTTTGCAATTTTCCAGTACTCAGAAATTCATCAATTTTCTTAGCAATTTTTTCTCCTATTCCTGGTAATTTTTTTGCTTCTTGTCCACTTTTTATTCTTTCTGTTAATCCACTTAAAGTGCCAGCTGCTTTGCGATAGGCATTATATTTATAAATATTTTTACTAACATTTCGTTCATAATTTGCTAACTCTGTAATTTCATTATATAAATTCTATATCAATTGCTAAAACAATTAATTAATAATATATATACTTCAAGTTTCAAATAGTTTAATATTTTATAACATAAATATTTAAAATTACAAATTTTATAACTTTATTACATAAAGATTTAAGGTTACAAATAATTAGATAATAATATTATTATAATAATATATTATAATAATAATAATAATATTATAGTTTTGTTAAGTGATTAAAATTTCTATTAATTTTTCTCAATAATCTTAATAATTTAATAAATATTTAATAAATAATTCACCTATCAGAAAATCGCATAAATCTTGATTCGGATTTCCGGTATTATCATTGGCCTTTCGTTTTCCCATGATAAGAATAATATGAATTCAATTTATTAAATTTCACTAATTAATTTTTATAAAAAAAAAACACAAAACAGAATCAATTCATGAGAGAGACAAGAACAGTAATAATGGAAAACGTAACTATAGAAGTAGGATAAAAATTAAGAAATCAGCGCCATCTTCAGTGTCACAAATAAAACATATAAAAAAGGACAGAAAATAGTAGAAAAAAGATAAAGATAAAATAAGAATTGATTTTTTGCGCTATTTTTAAAATATCAAAAACATTTCTTCAATAATCATGCTTCTAAAAGCAATTAAAAAATGACATTAATAGTCAATTTTTATTTTATTTCATTTCTTTTGTTTTCTTTATTTATACTGTTTTTATACATAATTATACATAATAGAAGGTACAGTCAATTCAATCAAATTTCATTATATTTTTTTCAAGACTAATTTTTTTCAATGTGCCTTAATTTTTAATATAAAAAGTATATTACATTGTTGGCATTGTAAGGTATCTTTAGAATGATTTCACAAAACATAGTATACTCTCTATATAACGAGAATGCTTGACGGAAAATACCGTTCGGCGGTAATGAATTTAAATTCTATTACAGAATATTTGTTTTATTCCTTATTCCTTATTTCTCATTAATTTTATATTAATGATATTATATTATAATTTAATTTCAATTTCAATCATTATTAATATTGCAATCTTATTCTCAATAAGGTTTGCAATGCCTTTAAAGCATAGGATAAAAAAATACATTGAATGTTAGATCTATTCTATATCTCTTCTGTGATAGCATAGTGTTTTGTAAATATCGATTTTATTCAACCAAGCATGATCCAAACGAAATTCGTGTATATTATTTTAATTTCTGTAAGAATAAATCAATCTCAAAATCGAATATTCGATTATTGCATAATTGTCTATATTATTTAACGTGATAATTATAAATATGGAACTAAGAAATTTACTTCTCATAATTGCATAATCTATAATTAATTAAATTATTGTATATTGTAGATAAACGAGAATATGTTATAAGTTTTCTATAATTTAAAAGATATAGTAAAAAATGAATTAATCTACTTTGATTTTAAATTTACCAATGCAACCAAACAACATTGGAAATCTTAAAAATGTTACGACGAAACAGGTGAAGTGTGATCATTATAATATCATTATTGAATCATTATTTTTAATTAATTTTTTCATCAATTATTAGAATTATAAAATGGTGTATTATAATTTTTATTGTTTTTGATTTATTTTGAAAATTTTAATGAAATATTTATTTAACAAATTATATTATATAGATTGAAGAATAGGATGATTGCAATTGGTTTTCTGGTGCTGGCTGCTGTAATTTACAATGAATTTTCAGTGTATGATATACAAAAGTTAAAATGGTCGACACGAGAATGTTCAGAATGTGTCAAGGTACTATTTGTTGCCGATCCTCAGATATTAGGAGAAAAAAATGAAAATTATTTTGGTTCTTGGATAGCACGATGGGATAGTGACAAGTACGAATAATGATTAATTTATTATATAAAATCATAATTCTTATATATAAATTTGGTTTTTCATATAAAATATAAACATTGCCATTTTGTTCCACAGTGTATTATTTGCAGGTATTTAAAAAAAACATTTTCCAAAGCATTAGATCATTCTGATCCTCATGTTGTTATATTTCTGGGAGATCTCATGGATGAAGGTCATATTGCCAATGCAGATAATTTTAAAACTTATAAAAAAAGATTAGATTCCATATTTGAAATGCCTAATCATATAATGGTATATCATATATTATTAATAATTTGATAAATAATATTATTTATGATAGGAAACATATTAAAACAACTTTTATTTTATTAGAAAATTTATCTACCTGGAGACAATGATATTGGGGGAGAAGAAGATACAATTTCATCTAATATTCACAAAAGATTTAATTTTGCATATAGTCAACCAGACACTTTAGTTTATAAAACAGTAACATTTTTCAAGGTAATAAAAAATATATATGAATATATAATATAATGTTTTAAATATACATAAATATTTCAAATATATTCTAGATCTTATTGATGGATTGTAATATACATATTTTTTATTAGGTAAATAGATTAACTCATACAATACCAGAAGCACCTAAAGATGCCTTTCTTAATGATTATGCAGAACGAAATACAACAAATGTTGTACTTAGTCATATGCCTTTATTGTTTATGCCTGGTACCTTTGTTCAAAATGTATGTCAAATTTATGCATTTATTAAAAAATAATAGTATTTTCAATTCTTATTAACAATTATATTTTAATATTAGGTACTGAAAGAATTGTCTCCCCAAATTATTTTTACTGCACATGAGCATAAGGCTATGCGTATCAGTTTAGATACAGCAACAGATCAATTAAGTGAGATATGGATTTTACCTCCCTATGAAACACCATTATATCAATTAAGAATGGATGTAGGTGATATTCACGAATTACAAATACCCACTTGTTCATATAGAATGGGTACTCCTCATACGGGTTATGGACTTGCTTATATTGGTAGAAAAATTATGCTCACTTATAAAATTATTTTATGATCTAATAATAATTTTTTCTTAATTATATTTCTTATTTTTTATTTTTAGATACACAAGAAAAAATAGTAGAATTTACAATTTTATGGCTCCCTGGAAGATTTCCTCAACTATGGATTTATATTTTTGTTGGAATATTTATTTTAGCCTTTAGTATTTGCATGTGTATTTCCAATTATTGTACAAAGAGCCATGTATATAATCGTATGTCTTCGATATAACAGCGTATAATCAAAAATATTATTCAAATACTTCATAAAATCTGAAATATAATTTGACATCAAATGAGATAAAGATCCGTCCAATGTAAGTGACTCTATTACCATCTATGCCAAGTTTCTAATAGAATAATGTGATGATAATATGATGATAAAATTTCTTATTTCACACCTGAAATAAGAAAAATTTATTTATTATCAATCATAATTTATAAAACATTTTAAATAATTAATAACTTTAAAATTAAAAATAAATAATTCATGATTTCATTATCTATTTAATTTAATTTTAAATTTTTATTTTTATTAAAAATTTTTAATAAAAATATTTTAGTACAATGCATATTTTATTCGTTTTTTGTTTAAGTATGATAATTTTTATTTACAAATTATAAATTTGAATAAAATATTAATTATTTTTTAATATTAATAAAATGGAATTTAATATAACTTCTGTATAATATATAAATCTATGTATTATGCTTTATAACTTTATTTTTAGTATAATATTTAATTTAAATATATATTAAGTGCTTGCAAAAGTTCGTCAGATTCCAAATAAATAGAAATTATTGCAAGTTGGCAATTTTATTTCTTTATGGAGCAAGATACTTACTCATAATTTTAAAATTTATTTACACCATCTTGAGTAATAATTAATTTTATTTTTATTATAGGTAAAAGATAAAAAAGCCATAAATAGCCACATATGATGAAATTTATTGTTTTATGATAATTCTAGATTCCATATTGCTGAATATCCCATAATAAGAACTTTTATTGCCTTAAATATATATCATTTTTTAGAAATTGGACAATTTTTTAAAAGATGAATTGTAGAAAGATGGATTTCATAAATATTTTGATTAAAATATATATGAATATATATCCTTTTTTCATTGTTTGTGTATATTGATTAAATAAATTTAAAAATCCAACGAACTTCTGTTGACACTTGATAAACTTAATATAGTTAAAATTCATATATTTCTTGTTCAAATATATTAAGAGATTGTAATCGCTATAAAACATAGCGCAATTGTTAATTTTTTTTAGAAGAGAGTTTATATTTGTGTGTAAAAATATATTGTCCAAAATAAATATTATTGTATTCGTTAAAGTTCGATTGATTTTATTATTTTCTATAATAATAATTATATCTAATTTATCTATATTATAATTATAAAATAATTTAAAAAATAATATATTTTTATATCTTGATAATTTAAAAACGAATTAATTATAAAATATTTAATACAATATTACAATATAATTTTTAAAATAGATTTATTCCCTAAAAAATTCCATATTATTTGAAATGAAAGTATAGAATAGAAAATCATCCAATCATCAATCCATTATAAAGATAAATTTGACAATACTAATATCCGGACGCAAATTGATATAATTAATTAAGTTACTAGAAATTACTAGTTTCAAATTCTCAGTTTCCCGCAGTTTCCCAATTTTATGAAATATTTGCTTTTTATAATATATCATAGTAAATCAAATAAAAAAGATATTACATGTTATTTTTTAATTATATGTTACAAATAATAAATTAATTAAGTTAATTAGAAAATTTTGAAACGAAACGGTATAGCTTAAAATCTTAGTTCAAGTCTATGTTGTGACATTTATCTGAGGAGATAAATGTTTTAAGAAATTTTTTTATTGCTTCGTTCACTTGTTGATAACATCGAATGCGAAAATAAAAACAAGAATGAGTGAGATATATTTCTTTTTGTTATCGAAATAAAGTGAATGTTTGATCTAAAGAAAAAGAATTTTAATTATAATATGAATAATTTTTTCACATTCAAACGAAAAAAATGAGACATTTAAGAGGATAATATTATAATATAATATGATTAATGACTAGCAATAGTTAATATTGATATAATATTGATAAAAACAAAATAATATAATAACAAAAAATAATCTGAATAAACAAAGTATTTTTTAGTTATTTTTCCTCAATAAAATTATATACATTATGACAATTTTGCATTATTTGAATATATTTATAACTTTAATTATTAGTTCTAAAAAAAATTCTTCACTTCCGTTTAAAATGCTTTGAACGATCTAGTTTCTTTTATATATATATAATATATGCTGTGGAGAATTTCATGGCCGCATTGGTTGCGTTGCATCAGCAAGTGCAATGTTCATCTATTTTCGATTGTCTCGTAGCGGTAGATCGCTTCAATGATCAGTAATTTTTAATCTGAAAAATGGCCGAATCGGAACAAAGGAACAAAGAGAATTGTATCGTAGGATCAAAAGAAATGATGGTGAAGCAAGAAAAGCGTGAGAACACGTTGACGAATGGCGGGAAAGGATCTGGGGATGACGCGGATAGTCTCGAAGAATTACCTCTTGATATTGGTGAACACTATCTTGTTCGCAGATCTGATGATTCCTGGCGTAAATATGTATATTATCATATGATTATTTTTATATTATACATATAAAGAATAATTTAATATTAATAAATTACTTATTCGCGCACTTTTTTCGCGATTTGTTACGTTTGTATTACCGGCTTTATCCTAATAAACTATACTTGTTTTGGAAACATTATGAACAATATGTGTAATATGTGATTTAGATACTTTATCTGTTATTAATATTTTATTTTTTTATTTCTATGATTATTTCTTTTGATTATAAATCATAAATTATTAATGAAAAATATAAATTTAAAAAAGTGTATGATATTAACAGAATTTTTTCAATTTTATGTAGATCCAGCAGAAATTATTCAAACTCGATATAACGAGAGTGAAAGCCACTATGAATATTATGTTCATTATGAAGGACATAATAGAAGATTGGATGAATGGGTACCCAGGGACAGAATTATGTCAAGCAGATTTGATATGAGTGATAGAAGTTGGAAAAGTGGAGACAGAAATTCTGGTACTGATTTACTGACAGATTCATCAGATCGTAAAATTACAAGAAATCAAAAAAGAAGACACGATGAAATTAATCACATTCAAAAGGTATATATTTATATTATCATTAAATTAAAAATATATATTTATAAAAAAAATCAATATTTTTTTATTGTAGACATATGCCGAAATGGATCCTACAACTGCTGCACTAGAAAAAGAACATGAAGCAATAACAAAAGTCAAATACATTGATAAGATTCAAATAGGTAAGCATTAATATATATTTTATGGTACTAAGTCTTATTTGAAAAGAGTCTCATTATTTTCAAAAGTTCATTTCTAGGAAAGTATGAAATTGATACTTGGTACTTTAGTCCATATCCAGAGGAATATGGCAAGCAACCAAAACTATGGATTTGTGAATATTGTCTTAAATATATGCGTCTTGAGAAAACTTACAGATATCATATGGTAAAAAATTTTAATATTAAAATATTTAATTCTCTAACAAAAATAATTAAATAATTTTATAATTAAGAATTGAAATTTTTTTCTTTTTAGAGTGAATGTACGCATAGGCAACCAGTTGGCAAAGAAATATATCGCAAAGGCACATTAAGTATTTGGGAAGTGGATGGTAGAGAGCATAAAATTTATTGTCAAAATTTATGCTTACTTGCAAAATTGTTTTTAGATCATAAAACACTTTATTTTGATGTTGAACCATTTCTTTTTTATATTCTTTGTGAAGTTGATAAACATGGAGCTCATTTAGTTGGTTATTTTTCAAAGGTATATTTTTTATTTGATTATATTTATAATTTATATAATATAAATATAATTATGTTTATCATGTTTGATTTACATACAGGAGAAAGAATCACCTGATGGTAATAATGTTGCTTGCATTTTAACTTTACCACCATTTCAAAGACAAGGATATGGAAAGCTTTTAATCGCTTTTAGTTATGAATTAAGCAGAATAGAACAAACTGTTGGTAGTCCTGAAAAACCCTTAAGTGATTTAGGAAAATTATCATATAGAAGTTACTGGAGTTGGATTTTGTTAGAAATTTTGCGGGATTTTCGAGGTACTCTTAGTATAAAAGATCTGAGGTAACTTTATAAAATGTAATATAAGTTAGATCAAATTGTATGTAAAGAATTTAAATAATTATTAATATAATTTACAGTCAAATGACAAGTATATCACAAACAGATATCATATCGACTTTACAAAGTATGAATATGGTTAAATATTGGAAGGGTCAACACGTAATTTGTGTAACACCTAAATTAGTCGAAGAACATATTAAAAGTAGTCAATACAAGAGACCACGGTTAACAGTGGATAGTAGTGCACTTAGATGGGGAGCTCCACCACGAAAAAATGTAAAACCTGGCAAAAAGTAGCAGAAATCAAATTGCAATTCAATGATTTTCATTATTGTGAGATTCACGATTTAATGTGTTTACTAAACACTTGATGAAAAAAAGTTGCATTTGATATGCAACAATGTTCTTAAGTTTGGTAAACAATTTTTATACGCATTTGCGAATTTATGTAAAATATGCGTATATTTCGCTAATATGCATTGTAAGACTCGTATTTGACTCGTAAGATGAGTAAACATGATGATTTCTAGAGCTTCATTAAATCTTCGGAGCGTAAAGATATTAAAAAGTAGTAATATATTCTTTAAATAATTTAATTTTTTTTTCGGTAGTACACAAAAAAAAAGAATTGAAGATAATATACTGATACTGACTCGAAATACCATGTATTTCTTAATAATGAATTGTTAATTTTTGTTAGAAATATATCAATTTTGCAATGTGTGATTATAATTTCAAGATACAAGTATATTGTGTTTCACATAAAAAAAAAATAAGATTGATAATACCACACAGTATTAGTCCATTAATGATTTTATTATATACATTCATTAATAATAAATTAATTATTCATGAAAAAGAATAATCACAAATGTAAGTTTGAGACTAAAGTTTATCATCATTATACCAAAATATTCATTATTTATAATTTTGAAATAGATGATTTATGCATTTCTTTTGCCAATTTAATGGCATACTTAGCAGTTCCAGGCGCAGTGCACACTCCGTAACCTCCATGTCCATAATTATGCACTAGCTGTAACATAATTTTGATCAATTAACGAAAACATTCATAAATAAAATATTCATAAAAATTGAAACTAACGATAGCTTTGGAAAATCCATTTACAATTTGTTCCCTTTCCACTCTGACATTGTTTTCTCTATGTGGTCTTAAGCCAACTTCTACTTTTACAACTTCTGCTTTTTTAATATTTGGTAAGAAGTTTTTACATCTATTACGAATTGCTGCAGATTCATACAGACAAGGTTTTAAATTTTCAGAATCAAAACTCCTCGAACCACCTAGAGTAACTATACCATTAAAACCTGGTATAATGTAAGTGTCCAATTCGCCATAAAAAAATGTTTTCAACCATGGCGCATTTACCTATTTTTTAAAATTAAAAATTAAAATATATTCTACATTTAAAAATTAATTCTATGTATATTAAAACAAATATACTTTAAGTATTTGACCACGTATAGAAACGAGACGTTTATCATTGCATAAAGATCGTGCTCCGAGACCTGTACAATTCATAATTAAATCCCAATCGGATACAAGTTCTGTTAAAGAGTTTATTTTTCTTTCTATCAATTTAATTCCATTTATTTCTAATCTAGGAATAAATATTCATTTAAGAATGTTTAGTTTGAAAAAATTATGTTAATTAATAAAGTAAATTCGTTACTTATTACGTGCCCATGGCAGATGCAGTTTACATTCTGTGAGAAGAGTTCTAAAAAATGAACCATACTTCCAATTACCTTCCACTAATTCAAATTCTTCGTCTGTAGTTTTTCTATATATTGGTACTAAATTTTCGATCCAATGATTCTATTGTAAAAAAAAGAAAAAATATTAATTTCTTTTTAACAAAGTTATAAATTAAAATTAGATAATGATAATTTATATAATGTATTTTCTCAAAAAATATTATAATATTCTTAATGAACATACAATATATTTAAAAAATATTCCTAAAAATTCAAAATAAACCTTAACAATTTCTGGTGAAGAATTTGCAAATAAATAACCGGATATAGCAGTTATACCAGCAAAAGAAGCTTCATGAGATTTTCGAATATCATCGTAATATTCATATGAATCTCGTATCCAACATCTAAAAAAACATTTTATTAAAATATAAAAATTTTAAGTATCAAAATCAAATCAAATCACATCAGAAATAAAATCTGTTTTTACGTATGAACCTTGTTATTTCTTCAGTTGGTCCAAAATATGATGAACCAACTCTAAATATTCCAGCTGCCACATGACTAACAGTATTATTAAAATCAGAAGCGAAAACAGTAATTTCAGCATTACGTAATTCATGTTTTAATTGTAAAGCTGTAGTTAAACCAATTATTCCACCTCCAATTATAACTACTTTCATTTTTTTGTTTTTTTAAAATAATTAATTAATAAACAATGTTTTCAAAGATTCCAGAATGTAACAATTTATTAATTATTAGAAGATATTATTAATTAAGAATAAGTAATATTGTTTGATAAGATTCTAAAAATTCCACATCTTATCTGTTGTTAAAATACTCTTGTTCTGAATGTATCATGAAATTACTTATAGCTACAGTCGATAATATGTTTGTTAAAATGAATTTACAAAATGTATTAAAAGAATTATGTTTATTTTAATACAAATTGACATTTTCCAAAAAGTCGTGGTAATTCAAATATTATGGGCAGTTAATTATTCTCTTATTAAAGATAAGATAACATCGTTCAATGGAAAACGTAAAGTTGTGATTATAGCATAAAAAGAATTTAAGATTTCTGCGCGTTAAACAATGATTAATCGAGATATGTACAACGAATGTTAAAAATTCAGAGAATTAGTTAATTAAACTTAGCTTCATTTTCTTATTTATTTGTCTTATTTATAGATTAATATGAAATTTGATCTAACCACATCTATTTTCCCGCATATATACAAACTTTAATTTCAAAGAAAAAAGAAAGAAAGAAATTGTATCAAGATTTCTTTTTTCTTTAAAACTATGCCTAAATCAAAAATAATTTGTAAACTACAAAAGTAAAATATACAATGATAAGTTCATTTGCCTTACGGGTATCTTACATCTTCAACAATGTAATTGTTATTAACAATCGGTCCTCTTTTGTATAAATTACATTGTTACGCGTTACAATTTTCCATTGTACCTCGGATCTCTTTTTTTTTTCGACTATTTGTTTTTTCGTATCGAAAAATATATAAACGTAACGCGAATTTTCAGAGATGTGGACGCAATGGAATAGTCATCATACGCGAACTCTATTCCGAAAACGATTAATATCGCATCACAAAAAATGAAGCTATTTACAATAAGCAAACAGTCGATGAATTTGTCACTAATAATAATACATTATTTTTTGCGTCTACGTTCTGCGCAAATTTCAACGATCTTACAAAGCCTTTGTATGTAAGGCCACACTCGCGATTTTTCTTTTTCTTCTTTTTTTTTTATTTCTTCATGGAGAAATAAATATTTGTATATTGTTCATTTTACAAGCTTAATATCTAAGATTGTTACATGTTAAAATAGAATGCTACCTAAAATACAAAAATCTTACGCTTTACTGCAAGGCTGTATAGTATAATTCAAAGGAGGAGGAGGAACTAAAAGAGGCAGCGGAGTAGGAGGCGGAGGAGCTTGAACAGTATTCGAAACTGTAGTCGCTGATTGAGCTTCATTGTTACGAATATTAACATTATAAGCAGAAAGGTAACTTGGCCAAAGATGTGGTGGTGGAGGAGATCCAGGAGGTGGTGGCGGCGGAGAACGATCATCTAGTTCGTCCGAATCATCCATCATCATTGCCGTCAATGGAGTGACACGGGGTTTCTTTATTTTTATAATTTTCACCTAATAAGCATAATTAATAAAACAATAATTTAATACATAAAAATTAGAAATTTACGTTCTAATTTTTTCTTTATATCTTGAAGTAATTTAATAAATTTTTAAGATGAAAAATTTAAATTTATAAATTAAAAGAATACTAACCTTTACTTTTTTCTTTGCTTTTGGAGGTCGCACTCTTTTCTCTTGCTTTCTGCTCTTCCTAGAACTGGATCTTCGAACATCACGAATTCCATTCCGAGCAATTATAGATGTGGGTGGTGGAGGCGAAGGCATATCTCCTTCACCACCACTAGGACTGGTACCTTCTCCAGGTTTGATTCCATCTGCAAATTGCACTGATTTTTTACTTCTTTGTTTACGCTTATTCAATTTTGCTAACTTTAATTTTTTCATCTGAATCTTGAATTTGCTTGATTTATTTTCTCCAGCTTCATCTTTGTTAGATTCCTTTTTATCTGATTCTGGACCCTCTTTATCCGTGTTATCTCCACTATCATTTTCAGGAGTAGATAAATCATCTAAGTTACCATTAGGAACTGATGTTCTAAAATATATTTATTTATATATATATTTGCATTTTATATTTATAAAATATATTTATATTTAAAAATAATATAAATATTTTTTATTCCATATAAATATAAATAATTATATACCTGAACCCTGATGCAACTAAGATTCCTTTCAAAGGTGGTGGGGGCAATTCTGGCCATTCTTTGGATTCTGTCTCGATTTGAGTTTTATTTGTTTCATCTGTTGTTATTGTTGCAGTAGCTTCATCAACATCGTTTTTTAATTTATTTAATCGCAACTTTTCATCATCATCTTCTTCTTCTTCATCATCATCTTCTGCCTCTTCCTCATCTTCTTCATCATCTTCTACCTCAGCTTCTTCTTCTTCTTCTTCTTCTTCATCCTCTTCAACAGGCATTTCTTCTTCTTCTGTAGAAATAGAAGATGCAACAACTGGTGTTTCTTCTTCTTTTTCAAAAATAGCAGCGGAAGTTTGTTGCTCTTCTACATCACCTTGTTCTTCACCTTCTAGAAGAGCTTTCAAAACACATGGATCTAAACCTGTATTTTTTTGCTGATTCGCGTTTTCTGTCTGGCGCATGTTACTTTTTTCTAATAATTGAAGAGCGCGACGATTAATTCGTTCAATTCGCCTACGTTCTTTTTCTTTTCTTCTAATCTCACGCAATCGTTTACGTTCTTCTTGTTCTTTTCTGCGGGTCTCCAAAATAACTTCATAATTATAAACTGGGAGAACTGGTACTTCTATAAATTTAATTATATAATAATTATTTATATTTCAACAATATATCTATGTTATGTGTCATAGAAAAAGATTAAATTTATTTACTCTGTGATGTCACTTCAGCTCTTGCAAATGTCGGCTGTGATGCCGGAAGTGGGACAGGACCAGGGACAGGCACAGGAACAGAAATAGGTAATGGAACCGGGGACAAAGTAGAAACTGGTGTCGAAGTCATGGCTGGTGGAACGGCCGGTACAGGCATTGGAACAGGAACTGGAACAGGTACAGATATAGGAACTGAGGGAACCGGAGAGGGTTGAGGGACTGTCGCGGAGTATATCATCCCTGCTGACTGATCGATCGAAGAGGACTGTCCGCCGCTCCAGTCCAACGATGTCGGAACAACTTGAAGAACATTACCTACGCGAACTACTTGACTTGAGCCTCGTACAATCGGTGTACTCGAGGAATTGGTTGAGTCTCTGTGGGTTGCTGAGACTCCATTGAAATCTGCAGGTACAACTTGCAATACATTGCCAACCTGTTTGATATTTTATATGAAAATATATTACTTTTTGATCTTTTTATATCATTGAATAAAACAAAGATAAATAAACAATAATATTAATAATATATTACATTTAATTTTATTTAATTATATAAAATAAAAATTAATTTTATTATATAAAATAAAAATTAAATTCATAAAATTTATTAAATAAAAGATTTTTTATATAAATTAAAATTAAATTTTTTAATGTATATAAAGAATTAATTACATACTTGTAAAACGGTAGGTTGCTGACGGTATAACATCTGTTGTTGTTGCTGAGGTGATGACGAATAACATACATTTGAATTAAAATTATCTCCATAATCATTTGATATTCCTGTTCCATCCTGTTGCTTCTTAATACCTAGTTCAAGTTCTAATCTAAAATTAACCAAAAAATTTAATCATGAAAAAATATAATTTCTTATAACAAAATATATATTTTATTATTATTGGATCAATGATAATATATATATATATATATATATACATATATATTATAATAATTTAGGAATAATGGAGAGGAAGGGCAGTTAGGGCTAGGATTCCGAACACGATTTCTATAAATATTACCTATCATCAAGTGGCAAACGTTTCGGAGAACTCGCTGCAGAGTCATCAATGCACGGTGGATAAGTTAAGTTATTCTCTGTATAATAGTATTCGTTTCCAACTTCGTTTTCAGTCGAATATTGGAAACCTGCTGTGACTGTCTCCATATTGTCACCTATGTGCATTTCCGAGTCTAACACGGTCGAGTCCCTAGATAGTCCGGACACGGACTGTACAATTGTTTCTATTCGTCTACCTCTTTCGGTGCAGCTATCTATTTTCATATTATCGTGTTCATCCTTCCTTTCCCTTGAATTTTCACTGACTCTACCTCGTCCCACAGAAGGTGATCTGAATCGACAGTAAGATTAGCTTACTGATTACCTAACATGAATAATAGTTTACTAATTATTGTAAATTATTCTTAAAAATTCACCTAGAAGATCGTAATCGTTCAGTTATTCGTATATGATCTGGGTTCCTCATTCTTGATCTCGAGGTAGATCTAGTCCTTGATCGAGATCCAGATCGGGATCTTGATCTCGAACGCATCATTCGGGATCTGGATGTTGATCGAGATCGTGATCTGGACCTAGATCTTGATCTAGATCTTGACCATGACTTCGATCGCGATCTAGATTCACATCTGAAATGATCGTGTGATCTAGGCGGTGATCTTCGTAATCGTAATGGAGAACGATTTCTAGATGATGGTTTTTCTATTCTTCGAACATGTCCATGTCTGTCTAGATCTAATAATTCTCTTTCCTTCTCCCATTGTCTATCTCTTCTTGTACTGGGTCTGCTTTTTCTTTTGAAATAATATAAATTTTTAATGTTTTTTATTAAAGAGAGAACATTATTTATAAAAATAAAATATTTATATTAATAATTAATATTAATATTAATAGCACCTATGTTTGAATTTTGATGAGGAACGGAAAGGACCTTCTGTAATATCTCTTTCAATACTATCATTCCTATAGTACAATTTTTCTTCGTAATCGAGGTCCAAATCTTGACTATTAGGATAGGAATCCAAGGACTCATTTCCATCCCGAAGTATATTTTCTGCTTCATACGGCCACAATGATCGATCAGCTTCATCTCCGCGAAATCTTCCTTCTCTATGTCTATCAGGATCTACATTTCTTTCTCTTAATACTTCTATTGTTTCATACGATCTACCTTCCTTTTCTCTTTCTATATAATCGTATTTTCTTCTGCTCCATTCATCTCGCTCTCCTTTAGATCCATGCTTCTTAAAGTGATCTATAAATAATCATCAATAATATTAAAAAAGAAAAAATATATATATAAATATATATATATATTTAATAATATATAAAAAAATATTACCTTTATTGTATGAGGCAGTGTTAGATCGAGGAGAAGTTCTTATGGATCTTTCTCTTCTATCATTTATTTTAGATCTGCCAGATCTATCTTCATCCATTCTAATTGATCGTCTCTCTTTACTAGAGGAACCTGGAAGCGATTCTTCCTTTCTTTTTGGACTTTTGCTTCTACTTCTACTCCAACTACGACTATGACTCTCACTACGACTTCCTTCCTGTTCCCAGGAAGTACTTCTTCTTTTTTTATTACGATCAGAAGGACTAAATCTTCTCCTACTTTCACTATAATCTTGTTTTAAATTTTTATTATCTCTTCTTTCTCCTTTTTCTTTATCATCGAATTTTTTATCTCTTTTTTCTTTGCTGCGATCATTAATTCGTTTATCTTCTCTATTTTCCTTTCTATTAGGACTTTTTTTCTTTTGTTCTGTACTTGGTGATCTTATTTGACATTCTGTGTCGCTCACATCTTTATTACGTGATCTAGGTTTTTTAAGTTCTTCTAATTTAGTTTCTTTATCTCCAGATTTATATTCAGTAAAATCAAGCTTTACTGTGCCTGGTGATTCCGATTTTGTAGTAATTGAGGTTTTTACTGTTATTGATAGATCTTTTGAGTCCACCTTAACATCCGTAATAGTAGTTTGTTCTGTGGGAATAATTTCAGTAACTGATGTGTGTGTGTTATCATTCTCACATTCAATCTTGAATTCAGCAGAAGATTCGTCACAAGATATAGTCTTTATATCATTTTTCATAGCATGTGATTCTCGAAGTTTCTTTTGAATAGTTAACAAAGCTGCAGCATGTTGCACAGGATCATCCGATATCAATTTTGTCTTTATACGTTCATTATTTCGTCGGACTAATAATTGCTTAGGAATTAATTTAAGTGCTGCTTTTCCTTCATTTGTTTCCTCTGCTCCTTTTACATTGACAGATGAAGATATTATTTCGGAATTTTTATTATTTAATTTTTCACATGATTCATCAGATTCATACTCTGCAAATATATCCATTCGTAAAGGTTTATAACTTGTATCTGAATATGATTCGTTAGTTGAAAATTCAGGCGAATTTTCAATAGTTTTTACATCGAATTTTTTTGGAATAGTTTGATCTTCTGTCTTTTGCACTCCTATAATTTCTTCAAATTCTATCTTTGTTATTGGAGATTTCGTATATTTCCCATCGCGATATTTTATTTGAAGAGGTATATTGGGAATGGATTCGTCATCAGTCTTGATCAGAGTTTCATTCTTTGATTTATCTTGAAGAAAGCTTCCCTTCAAATTTAAAGAACTTGTATGATTATTGTTAAAAGCTTCCATATCCTAGAAAAAGAATAAATAATTAATATGTATATTTAATATGATATTGAAAAATATGTATTATATAAAAATACCTCAGATTTCTGAGAACCAGCTGGAGAACTAGGACTATATAATTCTGTATTTTTTTTCGTTAATTTTACATCTATCTCGAATATATCCTTTAATTCTACATTACATTGTTCCTTTAAAGGTATTAACTCTTTTGTCTTATCAAAAAATATGTCTTTCTGAGAATTATTATCCAAACTTTTTATGCGTAATTTGCTTCTAATATGTTCTTCTGAAGTCCAAGATGATTCTAATAAGTCTATATCTTGAGATTTTCTAGGGAATAAATCGATATCTGGATTTGTTACATTTTTAGATATAGATTTTCTTGATTGTTGTTCAACCATAGAAACATCCTCATCTTTTATTTTTATTTTAGGTAATATTGAATCACAACATTCTAAAGATACTCTTTCAATCTTATGATCGAATTTATTTATCTTCGCCCATTCTACACACTCTTCCTCCCACATAACAGGAGTTTTCAATTTTATTTTTTCTTCGGACTGTGATGCCATATCCCAACGACTTTTTTTATTTTTTTTTGCCAGTAATATCATGTTTCATAGATGCATCAACATTTTTGCTAATTGTATTTATTTCTTTATGAATGTTATCAATAATAGTGATATCTTCTATACTTTCTTTTCTGTCATTTTTTTCTCGTAGAAATGACTCTTCTTCAATGTCCCAATCATCTTTCTTCCTCTTGTTTTTTTGTTCTAGAAGCATCATAGCTTCTCTCTCTCCTTCTTCTTGCTCTTCTTCCCAGATTCTTATTGCAGATAATCTATCTTGTCTCTTTTTACATTCTTTCAAAGTTTCTTTCTCTATAGCGATATATGTATCTGTTTTTTTATCATATCGGACTTCCTTTTCTAATTTTTTTGAAATATGAGTGGCTTTTTTCTTATTTATCATTAAATCAGATACAGCTTCCAAGCTGTCAACTTCCCATTCATCTGCTAATAGTTGTCTCTTACTTACTTCCCTTTCAAGTTGTGTCAATGATGGGACATTTAGGGTATCGAATTCAGTCTCTGCCCATTTTTCTTTTTTGTATTTTTTAGAAAGTTTAATTTCATCTTGCATTATTTGTTGAGATATACGTTCGCTCTCTTTCTCCCAATCAGTTAAAAATTCGCTGCTGTTCTTTCTTTCTTTATCTTTTTTTCTTTTTTTCTTTCCATCAATATCTTCTTCCATTTTCAAATTTCCAGGTATAATTTCTTTGCTGATATTGGAACATTTTTCTTTAAAAGATTCATCTTTTTTATTTTTTTCATTTTTTTTGTTTCGTTCATCCTTTCTTTCCATTTTCCGAATATTTTCTATTTCATTATTTTCTACCTTTTCAACTTTATTCTTTAACAGAGTATCTTCTTTTTGTGACATAATTACAGATTCCATTTCCCACTCCTCTAAATATTGTTCATCAGTTTTATTTCTTTTTTCTTCATCTTTGTGAGTTTTATTATGCACATTATTATCAGAAATTACTTTTCTAACTAACTCCTGTTCTTTGTCCCATATGTCGCATTTATCTGTGGATCTTTTTCTACTTTCAACTTTTACTTCTTCTTTAATTTTCTTTAACGGAACTTGTGAATGTACCAATTTTGTATTTTCTAAAGAAGAGGATTCTAAAGATGATTTTCGTATTACTTTTATTATGTCTTCATTGTTTTGTTTATTACTATATTCTTTCTTCTGTTTAGTTTTTTTACTTGTTATCCTTTTTTTTCTCTTATCTTCAGACGAATCACTACTACTAGAATCGGAACTGATTTTTCTTCTTCTTTTCTTTTTCATTTTTGCTATTCGTTTCGCTTTCTTTTTCCATTTGTCAGCTTTCCGTTTCTTCTTCTTTCGTTTCTTTCGTTTATCGTCAGAACTAGAGGAATCACTGCTACTAGTACTACTATCACTGCTATCTGAATCTGATAACGAATCTGAATCATTTGATATTTTACGTTTTCTCTTTCTTCTTTTTACTTCTTCTTCAGAGTCAGATGAACTTGACGAACTAGAAGATTCACTACTGCTGGAAGTCACCTTTTTCCGTTTCTTTTTTTTTCTTGTCTCTTTAGAATCAGAATTCTCATCGCTCATACGTTCTACTTTGATTCGAACGTTTTCCCAATCGCTGGGTATAGATTTAGAATCTTCCGATTCACTTTTATCATGCATATTTTTATTTTCCATTCTTACTCGTTTTTGAATATGAGTATTGCTTAATGACATTTTATCATCTTCAGTCTCCGTAATTTTCTCTAAATTTTGTCGATTTTCATTAGATTTATATTTTTCTTCAATTTTATTTGAATCACTTTTATCCGACTTTTCGGACATACTATGCTCTACAAATGAGAAATTGTCATCTGGTAAATTAGTTTCTATATTGAACTCATGATAACTTAATGTTGAAGTAGGTTTATTCGGTTTAGGAGAAAATGGTTTATTCGGTTTAGGAGAAAATTCCTTTGACATAGGAATATCATTGCAAACCATCTTCATAAATTGTTCATATTCCGATTTTAATTTTTCATTACCCGCAGACTGTAACAAAGGGGATGTTGATGGTCTATTATCATCTACTTTTTTAGCATTAGAAATCTCAGTTTCATTAACATTTTTATCTTTATTGACGTCTTCTTCTATCGTACTTAACTGTGGAGAAAATTCCTCTGATTCTAAAATAAATTTTATATGTTAAATATATTCTTTATTTTATAAATAAAATATACAAAATGTTTACCATGTTCTGAAACAGTATTGCCTGATTTTGTCTCATTCTCTTGTTCTTTTTCCGTATCATTAGATAATCTATCTTCGTCTTCACTATCCCATTTTGATTTAGGTAATTGTACATTAATAGGTACATGCCATTTGGTCTTTTCATCAGATTTGCATATGCCTGCTTTTGGATACCAATTACGTATACGTTGAGATATTTCAGCTTCTCCCGCATCCTCTCTAGAATTGTTAAAATCTGAATAGATAAAAGAAAATTGGCCAGACAAAATATTTTAATATACCGTATAAAATCTGCCTCGTATATGTTACGCATTTTTTCACGATGATCGATAGTAACTGCTTGAAGAATTTGTTGATGATTGATAAAAAGAGATATGCGAGGATTTTCAGAATAAAATAATTGAGGCCTTCCGCGTTTAGTTATTTTTATTGATTCAGGAGGATATTCTTTAGGACCATCAAGTCCTTCAACGATAAAAGCATAACGTTTTAAACGACAATCGTTTATCATTAACATTTGTTCAAAGTGACGCACATAATCCTCGGCTGTTCTATAATATATATATATTTCAAATATTTATTTAATATATCAGAAAAAATATAAATAATATACATATTTTTAAAATACAAACCTATTTTTTGTTGATCGTTCAGAATGATCACGTCTTCTAATCTCTATAATATCATCCATTGTTATACCACACTTTTTTAATTCTATCCATGAAGAAGAATTCATTATATCTTTATCTTTTTCTTTTCCTTTATCTTTGTCTTTTTCCTTTTCTTTTCTATCCTTGGTTTCAGATCTTTCCTGTGAATCACTTCTCTTTTCTTTAAAATTTTCTTTCTTTTCTTTTATTCCTTTCTTTTCTCGTATATCTTCCCATTTATCTTTATCATTATCCTTTTTATCTTTGTCTTCATATTTTCTATCTTTATTTTCTTCGTACTTATTATCTTCCCGTTTATCTTTATCATCTTTTTTATCTTTATCTTTTCTACGTTGTTCTTTATCATAAGAAATTTTATAATATCGTTCTTTATTATTGTAATCTTTGGATTCTCTACTCGCACTATCTCTTCGTTCTTCTCTTCCATATCGTTTTCTTAAAATAGTTTTTGTATATTATTTATACATATAAAAATATAAGAAATATGTTATTTATATGTTATACATATAAACGATAAATTTTGTTATACCTTTCTGAATATTTATTTTCTATTGCAGACTTTAAACCACTTTTATGAGAAACATTAACATCTTGTTTACTTTTTTCTCTTATTATCTTTACATTTTCTAATAAATTTTGTCCATTTCTATTTGCATAATTTTCTTCTTCCAAACTAGCTGTAAAATAATTTAACTATTGCCAAAAATCAATTTTATCTTAAAATATGTCATACTAAATACCTGCAGCCATAGCTTCAGCCAATAACATTTTACTTTTGGATTCTTCTCGTCTAATTTCTTCAATAGCCAGAATCTTTTCCTCTACAGTACAGTGGAAATTGTATATATTAATAATAGAATAAATTAATATAAAAAAATAATTCAAATGCAAATTAAATTCACATTTCATATTACCTGTTTTTTTTTTTGATTTATTACCACTTGAATGACGATTATGAAACTGTATAGAATCCGAGTCAATATTTAACAGTGTGTTTGGATCATTTTGCAAAGATTTTCCACTATTACCCAACATACTTTTAGATTTAGAAACTTTAGTAGTATGTACTTGAAGCAAACTGGATTTATTTTGAATTTTTGATGGTACATTAAATTTGTTAGCAAATGCCATTAATCTCTTTTTAGCCTGTAGTTTTCCTAATACTGGCTTGAGCATCTTAGGACTTTCCAATCTAGGTGTATCTCCATCACTGATTTGACCTTTTGTACTTTCTGGTGTTTCTGGCATTTGTATATCAAGCAAAGATATTGGAATGTCTGGTGTTGGTTCTTCTGGAGCATAAGCATCCTCTGATTGTGACATTATGTTAATATTTTTTTTTTCTGTTTCTTCTACATATAAAATTATATCAAAATAAGAAAATATAATAAAATTAATTTATGATAAAAATAAACAAATAGATATGAAAATTTACCTTGAGAAAGATCGATTAAATCTGTCTTTGTCATTGACAATGCCTTATTTTATCATGCATGTGATTATTCTTTAAAATAATACTACGAGCATCAATAAAACTTTTACTTTTCATGCTTAATATGCATATATATCAGATTCTATAAAAAAAAACATGTATTTTACATCTAAAAGAATTCTAAATTTTCTTGTAAAAAAATCATAATTTTCACATTTATAAGAAAATTATATATTGAAAAAAAATATGATTAATATTTTTTCTATTTTTCGATTAAAAAATATTTTTACCTGATATTACTTATATAAAATATAATCAAAATACTTAAATATAAACATTATAAGTATGTACACAGCTGAAAACTTTATTAAGAAGTAGCACAAGCACAATTGCACAATGTTTATTATTATCGATAATAATTTTAATTGATAATTTTCAAAATAAGAACAAAAAATCAGTTATTAAACTTATTTGAGATAGACAGGTAAAACATTAAAACATCGATAAGTTTAATTTAGTGGAGCATGTTTTTATCGAAGAAAATTTAAGCTAAAAAACAGAAATTCAAATATCTGATTTTTTAATATAGATAATTTACAGGTTATGATGAATGCAGCTATTTTTAATAAAATTTAAAAATTTATTATTACCTAGTGAAACATAAAAATTCCAAAAAATGTTAAATAAAAACCAAATATCATTAGATATAATATTGTTAGTTATAAAAACTTACTTCATAGTGAATGCTATGTAACAGACGGATACATGTTGCCCACGATAAAAATGACAGAATATTATCAACTTCGCACACCGGATTTTTCGGTTCCACAAATATTTTTAATTCCACTATTCTGTTCCTGTGTTCATCTAAGTCAAACAGAGCTACTATAAGAAAAGCGTCCGACATTTTAGTCAAACGGCAGGCCGGCAACTATAAATGTTCGTTCATTAATTCAACAAGAACAAGGATGCCAATATTTGAGAAATAAACGAAGAGCACTACTAAACATGTATTTCATTTCGGTTTGATAATTATTTGAATCCAAAAAAATATTTTAAAAATAATTCTGACTGAATTTACGATTAATTCTATAATATCAAATTTTTGTATAGATTTACGCTTACAAATAAAAAGTTTACATTAATATTTAATATACACGCATATATAAATATATTTTTATATTCTACTTAATATTATATCTATCATGAAATTATACAAAAGCTTCTAGAATAAGAATATATTCATAAAAGAGATCATTTAAAATAATAAATTTGATGAATTTTACTACAAAACATACATTATAATTAACTGTATATTTTATACACATGCAATATTATAACTTTAATTTTATTATCTAATTTTATGTTAATTTTTATTTAATTATAATTTTACGTTAATTTTTATTTTATTATAATTTTCAATTTTATGTTTATTTTTTATTTTAAGCAATTTTTAAGATTTTATAATTATCTAACAATATTTTTGCTTTTGTTCTTGAAAATTAACATATCAAATCCAAATAGAAATACTAAGATAGAATGTTTCTAATATGAATTTATATGCATTATAAAATAAATATGTAGATTAATCTTCCATTTCTGATGGATCACCACCCATTGCTTTCCAAAAAGCAGTGACTAATTGTTCAGCTGCTATACGTCTTTGATTAGTTGGCAATAATGCTGCATGTTCTTTCATAGCCCTTAATTGACTAAACAGTTCTCCAAAATCTGTATTTTCTTCACCCATAATTCCATCTGAAACAAATAATGTATATATATTGAAACAAAAATTTATGATAAATTTTTGTTCAACTGACCTAACATATTTTCTATTGGCAATGTTTCTGTAGAATCTTGATTTAATTCAATTTTCCCAAATTGTTCTTCAACTTTATTCATGTCAGGATTTCGCTCTTCCATATCTGATGGTTTTCCTATAAAATTAATATAAATTGTAAATATTTATAATTAATAAATAAGTATTTATATTCATGAAATAACACTTTTTAATCTAATTAATTTAATTTAAACATTTATGATTCAAATTTTTATTGAAAACCTTTAAGTGTCATATTTGGCCACATATGAGCATGTAAAGCTTCAATAATTCTCTCAATACCATATTTGTTATTTTCTGAATCAGCTTCTGAAGCATCTATATCAGGTCTATTTAATTCAATTAACTCAAATCTATTTTGTAGACACCATTTTATCACTAAAATATTATAAACACATGTTTAATATTTCATTATTTAATAATATTTATATGTCGATTATTATTTTTATATACCTTTGTTTCTAATAACAGTATCTATTATAAAATTACAAGAAAACAATAACACTTCTACTTCTGCTAAAGAAGTAATCAAAGATGACCATTCCTTTAAATTCTGATCTGCATTTTCCTAAAAAAATCAAAACTAAAATTCATTTGCTCTGTCAAAGATTCTGTTTAAAATTTAAATATCTTACTGTCTGTGGATCATGATGTATAATCAATGCTTCCACATCATTGATTGAAATATCTTGAGAAGAATTTTCTATAACACATATCAATACCTGTGTTTTGTAATATTTATTTTGAATATTCCATAAATAGTAATCAAAATGATCTTGGTTAGATAATTTTTCTCCTCCTATATCTATAAAATATATAACATATAAAAATAAGAAATCATTACAAAATAATTCTCAGGCATACTTTTATTTTAAAAAAATTAATTTATTAAACTTGTCAAATTAATATTAAATACGAAAGATATTCAAATTTCAACTTACTTATAGCAATTTCGTTAGCTTTTCCTTTTTCTGTGCTTATTATTAATATTCGTGGTAGATTCATTATTAATTTAATAATATTTTATAATACTATTAAAATTATAAGAAGAATATTTTAAAATTTAAAAGATACTATTTATTATTTGATATTTAGGTTATGATTACGATCTTAATATCAATTGACATAAAAATATGATAGTGAATAGATAAAATAAATTACTTTTATGTGATATATAGCGATATCTGTCACTATATTTGAAAATAAATCAATTGAATTATATTAAACATCGATAAAATTGCAATTCATAACATTTCGTGATAGACCATCAGAACTGTCATTATTTGATCATTAAAAGAACTAGAATAATTCTATTAATCTCATGTAATATTTCGATAAATTTTCATGTAATATTGTTTTGATAAATTTCAAAATATAGAGAATTAATTTAAAATTAATATGTTACTTAAAACTGATATTTTATAATTTTAAATAGATCAATTACACGCGATAAAATTTTATATCATTATTATCTATAAATTTTCAAATACTCATTTGTAGATAATTTTTAAAAATTAAATATATAATAATATAGTATATATATATATAATATAAAAATATATAAATTGATAAGACAAATTTGTATAAACATATATTGATTATTAGATTTATAGCAATACATAAATTTGCAAATACATATATGGTCATAAAATGTGACACATAATAACACAGTTTCTTGCTGATTATTTGTAGAATTCATGTTCAGATTCATCCTTTTTAATATTATTCTTATAACCCTTCTCAAAATCTTTTGCTAAGACTATGTATCGATTCTCACGAACGGCATGCATTCCTGCTTCTTGACAAATTGCATTAATATCAGCGCCAGAAATTCTATCTGGTCGCGCAACATAATCTTCAAGATCTACTTCTTCACTCAAATTCATTTTTGCAGTAATTGTTGAAAAAATTAAACGTTTTTGACGGCGATCAGGCAAAGGAAATTCAATTTTTCTATCTAATCTGCCAGGACGTAATAATGCAGGATCTAATGTATCAGCTCTAAAAATATATATAAATTATTTTATTTAAATTAGTTTTTACATATTCAAAAATAGAAATAAAAATAAAAATTTTACCTATTCGTTGCCATTATAACTTTAACATTAGTAGTTTGATCAAAACCATCCATTTGATTAAGCAATTCTAAAAGAATACGTTGCACTTCACGATCAGCACCAGTCTGAGCATCAAATCTTTTTGTAGCTATAGCATCGATTTCATCAACAAAAATTATAGCTGGTGAATTTTCCTTAGCTAAACGGAAGACATCTCTCACCATTCTTGGACCTTCACCTAAATATTTCTGTACAAATTCTGATCCTACTACGCGAATAAATGCAGCTAAAAGAATATTAATTGTACTAAGTTATAAGAAGTTAAGTATACCGTTTAGTCAGATACCCTTAAAATATATGATATTAAAAATATTATATATACCAGTAGTATGTCTAGCTACAGCTTTTGCAAGCATGGTTTTACCACATCCAGGGGGACCATACATTAACACACCCCTTGGTGGGTCAATTCCAATTTGCTTATATAACTCAAAATGAGTTAAAGGTAGTTCTACTGCCTCTCTAATCTCTTGTTTTTGCATATCCATGCCACCAATATCGCTATATTGAATATCAGGTTTTTCATCTTAAAAATACAAAAATATGTAAAATAATGTTTTGTTCTATCAAACAATAATTTATTATGATTTAAACTAAATACCTGCTTGCAACATTGAAATACTTGAATCAGCTTCTGGTGGTAAAACATCTACTAAAGCATTACTATGTTTATGTAGAGCTACACTAGCAGATGGTTTTAATAATTCTCTGTCAATTGTAGATAAAATCCGTACATAATAATTTGAGCCTGTAGTAGAACCTACAATACCAGTATTTTGGTCTACAGCTTCTAAGAATTGTCCAATAACTAAAGGTACACTTTGTATGCGTTTTACTTCTTCTTGAGCATGCAAGTATTCTTTTTTCAGATTACGTTGCTCATCTTTAATGTATTCTTCTTGAACTTCAAGAAATTCTAACATTCTTTGTAATTTCTATAAAATACAAAATTTTTATTATATATCAATTATATATTTTTGTAAATTAATAATATATAAAAATATATTTTTTTGTTAATTTTTTTACCATTTTTTTTACCAACATCAAATTTTTTTACCTTATACTTGGTATAAAGATCTTCAACATCCAATTCATCACCAGCACCTGTATAATGTCCAATTACAGGTTTGCATTCCATTTCTCCAACATCCTTAATTAAAAAGAATTTAAAAAATTTATTAATAAATAATTAAACAAACAAATTAAACTGAATAAAAATTGAGGTTATATAATTTTAAATTTAAATATAATTTTCAATCATTCTTTTCTTTAATTTTAGAACAGAAAATATGAATAAAAATGCATATATTAGATACCTTATCGGGTAGAATAATACCCATATCATCCATTATTTAATATAATCTTAACAATTAACCGCAGCTAAACATACGAATTAGTGAATGACTTGAATTTCTTCAGCAGTTCAGTTCAATGATTATACACATCAAAGGTGGCTACCATTAACTACTTAATCAACTAAAGAAACAAACTTAATAAAAACATTTTTTTGAAATATATAAAATTATAATTATATAAATATTTAAACTTTTATTAAAAAATCTATTTCGAATTGTATATATCAATTTATTTTTTACGAATATATATATATATATTTTTTAATTATTGTGTGAATAATTAAAATGTTAGAACATGAAATTTTGATTCTTAAAGTAATGAAATAAATTCCCTATAAATTTATAATTCTAAAATACTTTTAAAAATAATTTTATATAAACATTATTTCATTGGATAATCTAACTACAATTTATATAGTTTCAGGCTCTATGTTTACGAGGTTTCTCGACTGGGAAACATTAACAATTCGGATTGTGTATAAAAAATTTTATTATTTTGCGTAGAACGTTTCTTGTAGTATATTAAAAAAACTATTATTTTAATTATTATATTTTAATTTCAAAAAATATATTTAAAAAATTGTTTAACAAAGATTGAAATTTATATGTTAAAAATGAATTTGTAGATAGTTGGTGGC